AAATTGCGTAGGTACAGTTGGTTGCAATAAAAACGGAAAATAGAATTTTCTTTCGATTGAAACAGGTCAATCAATTTAGTTGTCAATTTGTCATCTGTTGCATTCAAATAATTTTTTCTGCAATGTCGCACTTAAATGCTGAGAGTATCAAATGCAAATCAAGATAACAAATTAGTTCAGTACTTACCTGGAAACCTATTGAGTAGTGAGTACTACAGATTAACTGTCAGTTCTAACTTAACCTTTTAGAATTAAGCCATGTTCAAACTATGGATAAATATTATAAAAATCTGACATTTTTATGCTTTGACATTTTCCGACTTTTTCGCAACCAAGTGTACATTAATTTCTCTCATTTTTCCTATTAATTTTCCACAAATGTTTTTAGTTTTTTGAAATAAATGTTGTCAAACAAATAATTGATTGTTGTTAATTTAATAATAATTTTTAAATATGTATTTCTAAAAATTAAATTTTGTTTGAAAATGCTTTGTAATTTTCTTTTGTATACTACAGCATTTTCCATAAGCTTCATTATGGGGTAATACGGCGCGCATTATTCGCGCACCTTCGCGGATATAACTGCGCAATGCATTTTTATTTATATTTCAAAATTGGTGTTGCACATAATTTTCTTATCAAGTCAAGTTTGTAGTTAACACACGAAACTATCGATAGTCCAAGACATAAAGAAAAGTATCTTAAACTTAGTTTCTTAATCTTAGTCACAGCAATATTTTCTTAGATGCATTCAATTCACCCACTCTGCTTTAAAGTCACTCTTAGTTTCGTACATCTTCATACTCTATACATCAAAAACTAGCTTATAATTTAATTAATCAAATATTGCAGCCGTCCATTTCATAGAACGGTCCATTTAGCAAACTCGACGTGAAGAGTTAATTTAATTGGAAACCTTCTTAACTACCCAAAGTTAATTATTGAGATCAAAGTTGGTATTTTACAAAACTTATATTGGAGTCTTCTTCACAGAAAAAGTTCCATAAAATTTTACAAAATGTCATCCTAAGTGTATGTAAAACCAATACAAAATTTAATTATTGAATATATTTTTTTAATTTAAAACCATAATTAAAACTTATTTAAATTTTAAAGAAATTAATATTCTTCTCTTCGTACTTGCAAGCCTTGCACTTAAGAAAAATTTAGAAAAGTTTTTTTTTATTTTTAAATAGAGGAAATTGTTATAGGAATTTCTTTTTATTAAAGATTTTTTTACATCGTAATTCATGCGCTTGATTTCTTTCTATAATTCGAAAATACGGTACAAAAACCAACCCCACTGCCACTTTAAATTTAGAGTAAACCTTAGATTGCGCAAACATCATGCGAATGCATTTTATACGAACTGCATCAGATACGTATTGTATTGTTCAGACAAAATTAAATTTTTAAATCTCATCTTACCTTTCATCGCTGAACTAAATAAATAAAACACGAAGAATAAGTTTTATTCTAGAACTGAAACGCAACTGAAATAAATTTAATAAAATAAAATGCATCCTCCGAGCATCTTTACTACAAACAGCTTCACGTCAGTAGATCACGAATGAAAATTAACATTTTGCAACTTTGCCAACCGTTAATGGTGTTTAATATCCCTGAATGAAACAAGCTTTAACGCTCAAACTACGCAAAACTTTGATCTAGGTGAAAGCATTAATAACAAAGTATTGACAAATATTGCAGGAACACACACATCTCATCGTACTCCATCGACGTAAACCGTGAAAGGTATGCAGAGTGGTTGTCATACTCAGATATATTCCCAACTCGTAAGATTTATGTCACTGACAGATCTGTATTTCACATGTAAATCTCATAAAATTGCCATCACTTCATGTGAATTATCTCATGGTGTGCATACGAAATCAGCTGAAGAATAAAACCCTATTAGCATTCGCGATAAGTCAGAAAAATTGAGCAAGTGCTACAGAACTACTGCAATGATTTAATCGATTGATAGTGCAGGAGTCTGTGTCGGCGCCTCTCTGGCTCCACAACTGGATACAATACGGCCCTAAGCACTCATCGCCGAAAAATATATTCGAGACGAACTGCCAACATTCCACTAACAATCATATCCACCCCCGACGCACAAATTACAACCTAAGAACATTTTTTCAATACATCAAAAACAACAGTTAATTTATAAAATATGATTTTTAAGTTTTTAAACTTTTAAAAAGTTTATGAAAGTAATTTTTTTTAATTATTTCTAAAAATAAGTTTCTAGGTTTCATAAAATGCAAAATTACAGAGACAGGAATAACTAGAGCAATACAAAGCTTCCGTATTTTTAGAGAGATCAATAGAGCTTAAATAAATGTTTGAAAAACGTCTCTCAGCGAGAATTACAGCACTCGTCCATAACGTTTTGAAACCATATTTGTTTATAGTTGTTTTTTGAGACTGTTATTAAAATTTAAAAAAGTTAAAACACAAAGAAATGTAAAACTTTGCATGTCTTCTATAAAGTCTGCATCAAAGCAAAAACACTACTCAGGGCCGCGCCAACCCTGGTGCCAGAGGTGCACCGCACCCGGGCGGCAGGTCAAGGGGGCGGCACAAAGATTTTGTCTAAAAATTTGGTAATTATAAAATACATCAACTATGGTTTCAAAGCCGTAAAGCTATAGTTGGCATCCGCGAATAATTTTTTTTTATGGAGAGTTTGTAAAATTTTTAGAGAAATTGATCCATACAATAAAAATCTAAACAAAAAAATCAGTTCATTTACATTTACTGTTTCGACAGTCATTTGACACGATATCTTAGCCAAAATTAATGTTGTTAGCTAAATATTGCAAGTACGTATTATTAGCATTACTACCTACATACATACGTAGAGCATTTGCAAAATTTAAATAAATATTTAGAAACAAATAGGTCAGAGAGAGTATTTGACGAAGTAACTCCAAAAGAAATAGCTGCAGGTTTAGAGAGAGCTTTCCAGAAGCTTCCACCATTAGAAAGAGGTAAAAAAAGAAAATTTTTGTTTATAAACATGGTGATGAACCAATTTCAGTTCTCGTTAAAATCATTTTTTATTTTTCAGATACCGCGATTGTGTCGTTAAATGAAAGGTTCAATTTAATAAAAGAATATGTATAATGACACATTTAACTTTCTTTATATCATACAGGATTTCAATTATTATGATAAAAATACCCGAATAAAATATTGCACAGATTTACAAGTAAAACTAATAACTGACGGAAATAAAAAAAACATTAAGGCGGTAGATTTAGTGGATGAATTAGAGGTAATTGCAACAAGTAATATAACCACCACACTTCAAATACTGGAATATAGTACAAAAATGAATTAATCGACAATTTTCCTAATACTGCCAACGCGTTTTGTTAACCTTGCCGGTAACGGTGGCTGAAGGTGAACGAAGCTTTTCTAAATTAAATTTGATAAAAAATTATTTAAGATCATCAATAAGCCAAGAACGGTTGAACAATTTGACAATTATTTCAATCGAAACCAAAGTTTGCAAGGAACTGAGTATTTCTAGTAGAGTAGATATTATAACAGATTTTGCAAATATAAAATCATTAAAATCTCCCCATTATACTTTTTTCTACTTTTAGTTTTTTTTTGCAAATACGAGTATTGTACCTACGTAGATATTTTTTGTTATGTACTATTTTGTTTAGTGTCGGCTGGTTAGGTGATTAAATTTGTTAATTTTTATCTTTAAATTTTATGTATTTTTTGTATCGAACGTTATTTACAAAATGAAGAATTATTGACTATTGTCAATTAAGTGTTTCACTTTATTTTATTCTGCAATCACTTAGGTTCTTCAAATATTGTCAAGGGGGCGGCACAGTGTAAACTGCACTCAGGCGTCGGTGGTACCCAGCGCGGCACTGATCACTACTAGTTCCAAAACTTAAAATTTGAAAATATTAATACCTACTAGGGAACAAAATGCTCATTAAAATTCTTTAACTCGGATGTAAGAATCATACTTTCTGAAACAAAAAGTATGACTTCGCAGAAGTTTCAATTTCAAGTATAATTTCACTCTAAAAAGAATTATTAAACAAAATTTTCTGATACTGCTACGATTTATTGAAGGCAAAAAACGAATTTGTAAGTCATATTAATTTAAATTTTGATTCCCATGTATACATTTCACAAGCCTTCATTAAAATGTATTATTAAAAAAAAATTAGAACCGACAAAACAGTATAAAATTTAATGAACAAAAAATTTTATTAACTCAGACCTACCTTTATCTCAATTTCTGGTGTGATTGACTCAATTACGAGTACGACTAAAACGAAAAAGAAAATCAGCGATGTCCGACGATAATTATTTCTCATTACAAAGTTCTCTTTAATGTTGCACAAGACAATCATTTATAAATATTTTACTATTATTTATTTTTCTTACAAATAAAGTTTAAGTAATCTTATCGAAGTCGAACACTTTCTTTGTACTGTGTTCCTTCAGAAATTATTGAGTTAAGTTAGTAAATTCCTGCATATTTTGAATCCGACACAGCAACAGCCTCCTTCGAGAGTCAGGTCAGGTCCATCCAGGGATTACCTTCCTGTCAGAACAATTCCTCGAGTTTGTCAAGTTCCTGGAATGTCCCTTGAGGCGTGAAGGTCCATCTGGCTTCCCAAACGACTTAATAAAATTTACATAATTACTCGTATCTGGTGTTTTTGTTACCGTCCGGGGTAATTCTTCACCCCAAGCTCTTGCTTTTGAATAGGGACGCTCGTGAGGTGTTCAGAGAACGGCGTGAACAAACGTGGTGGCTGCCGTCTCATCTACGATGTCAGAATACTAACAAGCGGCCGCGGGCCATCTACCATCCTGCTCGACATTTTGTTCTCAAACAATACGCGTCTAGAATTATGCAAACAAGAAAGAATAATTTGCTGCTTCGTGTCAATAGACAAACACGACAGCTAGACTCAAAAAATCACACTGAACAGCAAAACACATTTAAAGGGCATTAATCATTTATTTTAAATACACAAAATGCAAAACATAAGATACAGTTTGTTACATAGGGCTAATTAAAAAACAGTAGAGAGCATAATGCATAAGCCTATCCTAATAATTATAAAAAACACGAATCCATCCATAAGAAAAACTAATTAGTTTTAACAAAACCAATAGTTCTAGCTTGTACGTCATAAACTGTATAAAATTCGGCCAAAAATGCTCCCCCGAGAATCCAGCGATCTTGCTCTTGAATTGTGTTTGCAGGAATAAAAGCTGATAAGCAAATAGTTATAGAATGATAAGACATCTGAAATATAAGACAAAACAATACACCAACTACCATTATTATCAATAAATTAATTACTTTAACGGTGTAGTCTGGTCCTGAAAGTGTGAAATTTTTCCCACCCAACATGAAATCTATTTTAGGCAATTTATTTACAGTATCGCAATCCAGCTTAAATTAAAAAAAATATATTGGTGTTCATATAATTAAACTCCTATACTTACCGTATATCGATGTAAGAAAAACTCCCTCGCGTTAATTACGTCATGTATTTGATCGATATCGGCTTGAGGGCCTATAATAGCATTAGAACTAGTGTCCACAATAGCTTTACAACCTTTTTCACACACTACGACATTATTATCTTTGCCAACTTTCACAACAACTCTATAAAAATACGGTTTCGAAAAAGAATTACATATTATAAAAACTCACTGATCCATCTGAAATTGCCAATAAGCGTAATTTTCCACCGGTAAATAAGTGAAATTGTCATAAACGATTTTTTTGCCCACTTTGGCTTTGTGGACGTGTTTAAGATCAACAAAACCTAACATAACATTACCTCCGCGATTGGATTGCCGGTCTCTAAAATTAGAAAAGTGTACGGTTGTTAAAACGCTAAAAAAATGATTACCTGTTTAAGTAAATCGAAAAAATTGGATTTTTGATCTTCTTTTGTTTCAATAAAGTGTAGAAGAAGGGGTCATAATTTTCATCAGTTTTTAATCCTAAACCCATTACACCATCTGCTTTATTAAAAACAAACTGATTGGGTACGTATACCATTTCGACGAAAGATTGTCCAGTCACGTTAGAATGAGCTATCTACAAAAAAAAATCAACAATATTTTTAAAAGTCCGTTATTGAAAATATTTTTCTTACAGAAATGTTATCGTAAGAATAAAACCCAGTTAGGTTGTAACTGCCCAAATCCATTGCAAAGGGACGTCCATCCTTTTTATATTCCGATGATTTGGAATGATCATATTTGTTGTGAAAATCTAAAATTTAATTACCTATTAAGGAACAATTTGCAAAAGTTTTTTTTTTCTCACAGCATCCAATTGATTTGATGGAACTGCATTTAGAGGATATCACCCATGAATAACTCCATGTTGTATCAAATGCAACGTTCAATTTTTGCCCAGGGTGACCAATAACTATTTCACCATAAAATTCGTCCTGAAATTTATAATAATGTATTTTTTTTAACAATTGAAGATACAGGTTGGATTATAAAAAAAAAAACGTCCCAAGCCATTACTCTTTTAAAAATATGGAACAAAATTGTTTATTGCTGTCTAAATATTTTGATCTAGGTTTATTTCAAACAACAGAAAAATTGCTCACAAAAAATTGTTCAGCTGTGATCAAAGAAATCACGTCTTTAAAAATAATGAAGTAATGGCTTGAGGCGTTTTTTATAATGTAGCCTGTATAAAAAAGGAAATTTTATTTCAGATAACAAGTATTAAGACTGTCATTATCATTAATCTTCTTAATTCTTATTGCAACAAAAACAAGCCCATTTTATGTACCGCCAAAAATTTGATTTAGTAATCTTTTTGAGTTTAGTTTTATTGGTGGCGCCACCAACAAAATCGCCACATGAAGTTTCCTGCAATTGGAGAGATGAACTCCAAACATTATTTTCATTTATCAATTTATTGTTTACAAAAACAATAATACGAGATAATTCAAATAGCACATGATGCAATCGATTACGTTTTTCTTTAAAAAAATTTGTTTCGAAATTAAGGTTATCTGACCTGTCACTTATTTATGTTGTGCAAAAACAGCGTGATAGCCATTTCAAATGTAAACCCGTTCAATTAGTGTCGAAAAAATCATCAGCAGGTGGTTTAATTGGTTTAGAAAAATATCAATTAAATGAAGATTATTTTTAGGACTTTGGATATGGCAGAACAGACTTTAACTCAATTTACAGACAAGATACTTTTAGAAAAAACATTTAGCTGTGCTGTTTGCGAGAAGCTGCTGACTCTTCCGATAGTGCTAGTAGAAGATGTGGGAAACGTGTGCAATAATTGTTGTAAAGAAAGAGACTTGAAAGGGTTGCAAAATGTCAAGTTGGAAATGATTTTAAAAGAACTTAAAATCCCATGCAAGTTTCAAGCGACGGGGTGTAAGGAAAGAATTATTTTTAGTAGTTTAAAAGAGCACGAAACTAACTGTAAGTTCCATGAAAAGCCTTGTTTGTTGTCACACGCAGGGTGTGAGTGGAAAGGTGTACAAAGCGATTTTCGTAGTCACTTTAATGAATGCCACTCTGAGCATGTGATAACAAACTCTCAAAGTTTCTTCGTTATTGACGTCAACATTAATGAAGAAACAAACGTAACAAAACTGCTCAAAGGTAAACAAGAATGCATAATAATAATCAAAAAAGATCTTGAAGATTTGTTGCATACAATCTGTGATGTAAAAAACACTGAGTGTAATTATGATTGTATTATCAAGCATTTAGGACAAAGCAGCAACTGTGTTGAAACAAAGTGCAAAGTTTCATCATTCAGTAATATGCACACAACAAGAATTAATTTGTCGGCTTTACAACAGATGACTGAAGCAACTAATGTAGTCACACTCCAAATAAAAATGTCAACTTATAATGAATCTACGGAATTTGATGAAAAAGTCTTGCAATATTTTGAATGCCCTGTTTGTAAAATGTTAATGAAGCCTCCAATATATCAATGCAAATTCGGCCACAGTTTTTGTAGCAATTGTAGACCAAAACTGGAAAAGTGTCCAAATTGTCGCGCCCTTTTTGGAACTACGAGAAACTATTCTTTGGAAGGGCTGACTGCAGGAATCAGTTACTCTTGTATGTACCACCACCTGGGGTGTGAAGATACTTTGCTAGCTCATGAATCAGATAAACATGAAGCGGTTTGCCCATTTAAACCATATCCATGTCCTTTGGATGACTGTTCATTTAAAGGTGATTTGCTTATTTGAGGTTTCAGATATAATACTTTATGTTAAAAATTTTAGGAACACACTCAAATATTGGAAAACACTTAGATGAAAATCACAAAGATAAAGTCATTGCTGCCGATTTCTTCAAGACCACCGTAGAATTTCGTTTAGAGCAAATGATGGATTTTTATAATTTCCACCAGAAGTTTTACATTGTGTTTGACGAAAATATATTTAGATTGAGTTTCAAAAGAAATTCAGACTATAGTTTCTGGGCGGTTGAAGTCTTGCGTAAAAAGGAAGAAGACGATGTTTTTATCTATGAAATTGGCATAATTGATATGAGAAAGCCTGACAGAAGATTGATCAGATGCGATGTTTGTTTTACCGATACCAATTCTGAAGAGCTGTTTAAAAAATGTATTCTGTTTCCCAATAATATATTGGCTTCTTATGCTTGTAATGGGATGTTCACCTACTATTGTCAAATACGTAAACGGCAATAAAGAGTACAAAACCTTGTATTCTTTTTTTTAATTAAAACTTATCCTATTCTACGTGATATGAGGCATATGATACACTGCAGATAAAAGCTAAACACATGACAATATTATTATTGGCAACTTTCAACAAAAAATTATGTGGGAAGTGAGCATATAGGAGATAACATTGTGATAATGAATAATAATGCATGTTGGGCAAATTTTTGTGTTTTGTTGGTTGCATATCTCAAGATCAATGCTTAAAATTTTTACGCTAGTAAATAATAAGACAAAAATTACGAAATATACAACAATAAATAAATAGACAAAATTAAAGTTGAAGAACACTAATTTCTTTTCAACGTTATCATTTAGAGTGGCAAATAAACATTACAAAATTACTTTTCTACTGTATTTTGGAGGTTTTATTAGGTATGTAAATTTATTTTACTCACGTCCAAAAACCTGTACAAAGCAATGGAATCGTTATTCCGTGGCTCTGGCTTCTCCATCATTTCCTGAAATTTGCGACCAAAATGATGTCCATGGTTTATGTATTGTTCGGTGGGTGTTTTTTGCCGGCGAATTTCGAAACTAAAAATTGTTATTTAAAAAGTGACTGTTAGGATAATTCTTGATTATTGCTTACTTGAAAGTATTTTTTTCGTTGGCAAAACCGTTCTTGGCCAGTAAAAATAAAATAAACGTAATGAGTAAGTTACGAGATATCATTTTCGTTTTTCTTTTTTTGAATTAGGAAAACTGGTTTAATGTTTTACGCTAGACACTACTGTTGATAAAATACCAAATAACTCGTCTTAGGCCAACGCTAACTATTTATAGGGTTCGACCGGCGACATAATCCGGGATATCCCCGAATTTGCCAGTGACATGCGCAGATCCAATTTTGTAAAATTTGGTATCGTGGTCCTTTATTTTTATTATGTGCTGAGCCTAAAATCTTATTTTCGAAGCAAATGAATACTTTATCATAGGTACATGGAAAAATTAATTTGATTTTTCCATTTCGTCTGCACCACACTTGATAATAAATTTAGACAATTACACAATTAGATTATAAATAAAACGACTTATGACAATTTATTGTGTATTTATTATTTTTAATTTATGTATGTTACAAATTCACAATCAATACCAGTAATATTTTGGAGGTACTCTCTCTTCTTTAATTCCCATGCTGTTCATAATATCCATTTCGAACGTTTGCAATTTTGGTTCAAACGTTATTTTCGTTACGTCATCCGCAGTGGTGTCTTTAGGCGTCTCCTTATACGTCCCCTTGGTTTTATAATCTATGGTTTCTTCCGCTGTGGCAGGAACAGGAATTATCCTACCAGTCCTTGTGGACACCCTCACTTCTTCTCCATCTTCTGTAAACCTCCACTCAAATGGGGTCGCTTGCAAATCAGAAGGATCAACAAGTGCCACTTGTTCAGTTACCAAAAGAGGCTTTTCTACTTGTACGTAGGCTCCCGCAAAACCTTTTCGCTCCCCAATTTTCTCCATAACGCAATTTAAACCTTCTACCGTTACCCAATTACGCTCTTGAATAATTTGTTTAACAATGCCCTGTTTTCCTTTGTCTTTACCAACCAGAATTTCAACCCGGTCTCCTCTAAAAAAACTCCATTTTCTGATAGGTTCAACAAAAATTTTGTCGTGGAAAACTCCTGGTGCGTTTTCTTCTCGAAATTGACCTGTCCATGGTCGATGCATGCCAAATTTGTATTTGGCACGTTTAATGACTGCATTTGGTTTGTACTGAATGCCTCTGGGGTTCCTCCATTCTACTTGTTCCATCGCACGTTTTATGTAACGATCGGGCAAATTTGAAAAATCCTTCGAATATTTGCCGACTTTCGAAAGAAGGAACTGTGTTAGCCGCATTTTGTTCTAGAAATTCTTATTTATAAATTATAATGATTTCATCTATTTCTTAGATTATAGGTTAGGCAGATGTCTAGGAATCTACTTTATCGACAATCATCAGCTGATCATCAGTCACACATCAGTGTCACCAACTCACCATTCGTTTTAAAACGAATAATAAACACAACAATTTTGCGCTGTAAGACGCATAGAAGCTAATTTCAGCCAAGAACAGTACTAATATTTTTTGTAAGTTTAAATACAGGACAATTTTTTAAATCAAACAATTAAACTTGTTTTAAATCAAATTAATTCCTGAAAACAGATTTTGGCTTTATACTAAACAAAAGATTTACATATAGAATGGACGAGGAAATTATTAGTCTTATAAAACACAACAAACCAACATTTAATAAGTAAATAAAACATCTAGGCTTTGTTACATACTTTGCATGTGCGTACCCACACTCTAATCTTTATCAGTGATATTAATCTCAAGATATGTATTCTCACAGCTATATCACATATTTCAGAGTAAAAGATAAGAATTGTAGTTAAGAAAAATCGTCAAATTGTAGTTTATGTTTTAATTAGTGGATAAAACATTTTTTTTTGTTATGTGAAACATCTAGTGTTGTTATAATAATAGTGAGTTTATTTAGTGATATTAAAAAAAATCTGAACGTGATGCAAGAGATTAAGTTTTGCACACATGTCCTTGGAACATCAAAATTCACCTGCTGAGTCTTCGGATGGACCTCGGCAGCGAAGTAGATCTTTGGGTAATAGATTACGATCATTATCAGTGGTGTCTTTGAATCACAGCCCAAGACGATCATTTTGCGTGTCAACATTGGTAAGAATTTATTAACTCCTATAACCGAAGTTTAAAATGTTTGCCTTTGTGTTTTCATAATACCGGAAATAGTAATATATTTTTTTAACTCGGTACTTTCCTTGAGCAAGCTTGAGCTTGCTTTCATTTCTACCAACAAAAGTGTTATTTTGTAATTTATTTTACTATTACACTGGGGGACACGGAATTTTTGACATCAAATTTATGTCAGTTCAAAAAATATCAATGTAAGTCACGCTTTACTGTCATTATGATTGACGTTTCAAATCAAAATTTGAAAGTTTTAGTTGTTGGCGTCGATTTTCCGAAACAATAATGCCAGCAATACCTGTTTTTATATAAGTTCAATAAATTATTTTGATTTGTTGTCATTTTTTCTCTAGCTATCAGGATTAAAATTACAAAAATTGAAAGTGAGGTTAGTTGCCTAAGGCCCGTTTTACATTTTTATGTCAGTCGAATGACAAATCGTCCAAAATTCCGTGTCCGCCAGTGTACGATGTGTTTTGCTCTTTAATTTTGTTCCCTATTGTACATATCGATTTAAGAGAATAATAAAAAAATGTCAATAATTTCGAAATAAAAAAACTAATCATTTTTTTACATCACATCTGAATATTATTAATATTATTATATGAAACTAAAAAAATTAAAAGAATGTTTTTGAAATAGGAAGGGGTGGAACCTTTTCGTGCCAACCACACCGAGCGAATTTCCCCAAAAACGTCATTCTTAAAAAAAAGTTTGACATTAGTGTTTTTGTGTGTAGCTTGTCAGTTCTTATTGGAATGAATAAATTGTTTTCGTGGCTGTGATCATTTTAACATTAGATGTAATATAAAAATTTAGTTTTTTATCTTTAATGGCATCAGAAAATATCTATGGATACTTTCCTCAAATCGGACTCGATCGACTTGTAAGTTGCAAAATTAGTTACGTTCAAGGATCATTTTCTACAATCAATGCCATTCGTAATATTTTTATTTGGGCACATGCACATTGCCGCAAATTAAATAACTTATTTTATGATTAATCGATCTTTTAACTCCTGACCTGTCATATTTAACAAGGTCTTAAAACTCCTCATTCCTCCCAATGCAAACCTATTTGTTTTTGTTGTGAAGTCATAATTTAAACATAAAGTCAAATGAATCTTTGTAACTGTGACATTATCACCAATTTATGTATTCAATGATCTATTTACTAATCTAATCTAATCCCTGTTTTGTAGACAGAAGAACCAACTAGCAAAATACGGCTCAGAATAATTAAGGGAAAGAATCTTATGAAAAAAGATATTTTCGGGGCAAGGTAACCCTCAAAATAAGCCACCTTTAAGCCACCAGATTTAAATTATTATTTTAGTGATCCTTATGTAAAGATTGATCTGAATACAATAAATGGAGATGAGACAATTGATTCCGTTTTAACAAAAACAAAGAAAAGGGTGAGGTAATAATTATTAATAAACAAACAAAATTTTTCATATGAATCTCTTCAACAGACCCTCAATCCAGAATGGAACGAAGAATTTATATTCAGGGTAAGTGCAAACTGCAATTTTGGAACATTGTCCTAATTTCTCGACCAGGTGAAACCAGCAGAACATAAGTTGGTTCTACAAGTCTTTGACGAGAACAGACTAACTCGCGATGACTTTCTTGGTATGGTAGAAATAACTCTAATAAATTTACCCCGAGAGCAAGAAGGCAGAAATATAGGAACAGTGAAATATTTGCTAGGACGCAGAAGGTAGCAACAATTGAACTTAATCCTTTTTCTAGCTTGCATGTTTTAATACTTGTGCTTAATTTTGCATGCTGGTCTTACTCGTCAATTACTCTACGTAGCGGTTTTAGTGCACGTTCAAGAGTACGAGGGCACCTTGAAATATATCACGCGTTTCTCCACGACAGCGAAGTGCCTCCAGCACCCCCCGACGATGACAGGATTGGTGATGACCGCGATTGGGAGCTTATGAGCGATGGAAGAGAGGAGGGGCCAGCTCAGGTAACTAAAGTTGTAATTTTTTTGTGTTTTTTTAATGAAGATATTTTTTGATAAGCCTGTATATGTTAATGATCCTTTTGAGTCGAATGCGCCATTGCCTCCTGGCTGGGAAGAAAGGCAAGATGCGAACGGGAGGACATACTATGTCAATCACATAGCAAGGACTACGCAATGGGAGAGACCCACGTCTAGGTATTTTATTTTTGTTTGTTATTCATTTAATTAGAATTTTTTTCTTGCAGCAATAACGTTGATAACCAATTACAAGAGCAAAGGGTGCTTGAGCAAGCCGTCGTGTTTGAACGGCGTTATCACATTAGTGCTGAGGATGAGAACAATGGCCGAGGCGATTCCAGTGCAAGCCAAGTATGTTACTTTTCCTGTTTTTTTATCATACTGAAATACCGGTAGTTGGTGTAGTGGTAATGCATGTATGAGGTGATGCATTAGTGTTATTTTTAAAATTTTTGGTGTTGGCATTCATTCATTGGCTATTTACATGTGAAATCCATTGTATTTTCCATTTTTTATGACAGATAAAAATTTATAGTTCCGTGTACAGTATCTCACATGCAAACACGTATTGACCAATAATAACAGGATTGGTATCACACTTTTAAGTTGATTAATTAATTTCTCTCTGTTTTGCGTTAACAAGAATATTTAATAACAACAGAAAGACATTGATGTTTTTTAATTGTGTCTTGATGTGAGTGGTAATGGCGTTTTATTGATATCTAATGAAAATTAATAATTCAGATAGTAAGTCGATTGTTCTATGATGAAAAGTTAACTTTATTTCTTTCTTATTAATTTATATCTGCATTGTCACTTCTGAATTTTTTATAATTCTTAATAATTGAAAAAACTAAATATGTATGAAATAAGACAGTTGTTTTAGAAATTGTAAATATTTTATTTTTGTGTTGTTTTTTTTGTTTTCATTTTATAGAAAGAATTATAAGAAATTGCTGCTGCTACAAGAGCATCTAAACGAGTATAATTACAAGTATTACGTAGTCATAAATTTTTAAACATTTAATTATATTAGAAAAAATTGGTGCATTTAAATAAGGATTTCGTACCAGCTGTGAAACTGGCAACAATAATTTGTGGTTGGGTTTTGTGTTACATTTAATTATTGTAAAGACAATCAATTTTAAAATTGAAATTGCAAAAAGTAACAAAATAGTCCAATCTATTACTGGAAAAACTATATAAGCTTCATTTCTTCGAACACTGAATGTGACGTCCTCTTTAGTTCACTTTTGTCTATCAGAAACTTTACCAAATTTACTTTAATTACAGTCAATTGTATTTTGTACAAATGACAGTCATACATTCACATTTTCAATATAATACAGGAGAAATATAAGTTTAGATTTTTATTAGGAGTAGTGCATACGTATTTTTTATCGCAATATAAATTATGCTGCCAATTTGTTACTCCATCATAATTTTAAAATAAATATTGATACCGGTCTGTCCTTGAAATGTTTTATCATTTTTATAACCACAAACCTTCATGTATTTGCAATATTTAAGAAAAGAGCTACTACAAGTTTTTGAGTTTAAATAAGATTGGGATAAAAACGTGTAAGCATCTCGGATATTGTCAGAGGAGTGAAGTAATCGCAAAGTTTCCCCATTGTCTTGTACATGTCATCCACTAACACGATTAACAAATAGCTAGCGCTGCATGAGCGTTCTGTTTGCATGCTGGTCAGGCCGTTAGTGCGAATAGTGACGGTGCTGCTGCTGGTGGTCCAGACTCGAACGTAGTAAATCCGGTTCCGGCCTTAAATAATCTGCCCGAAATAAGGGTCGAATCTGACGAGGTAGACCACACGCTCGCTACTAAACTCAACAATCGACTCAGTGTCAGATCAACAGAGAACAATAACGATTCCGAATACAACGCTTCGGCCGAAAGCAATGAAAGCAGTAGAAGAAGTTCGTTTGATTATCCACAATTCGAATTAAGAGGCAGATCAGTTTTTGGTGCGCATGTTGAACGACGGTCCAATGATGATGATTTTGAAATTGTCGACACGGATTCGGAGGTTGGTACGCGTGTGTGCGCGTGTTGATGTTGCTTCATGTTGCGTTTTTATACGCTCCTCGCAAACTAACACACACAGGTCATTTCATTGCTTGTTAATTGGTGTGGTCTGTTGGCTTTTGTTCGTGTATACAGGGTTGACCTAAAAGTCGAATTTCTCACGAATCTTACAAAAAAAGAATTGTTGCAAAATAATTTTGCGTTTGTTTTTAAGAATTAAAAATTTATACCTAGATGCTCAGGAAAATTTAAAAAATATGTTTTCTTTTTTTTACCTACCTATAGAAATGTATAGTGTTTTCAGAAATTCATTTCTTGACATCTTTGAGATAGAAATTGATTTACAATAGTTGTATGTTTTTGGATATTAATAAAATTACATAAAAAAACACGAATTTTGGTCTATTATTATTTTTTTACAAAAAAGTACAAATAGAAAAGAATAGTCTTTATTCAGTTGAACATATTTTGATGTACAAGTGAGAAAAAGATAGTTAGGCGACCCTGTTTGTTAATTGTGAACAATAATAAAACAGTTATTTTATTTTGTTAATTCGTCGTAATTAAACAATTTCTTTGTTTTCGTTGCAAGAAGCGTAAATGACCGGAAATGAACAGAACCAATTGTCGCTTTTTCAGAGCGAAGATCACACCGACAGTCTGTCAAATAGCTCGTCTCGTCGCGATTCCACCGTATCTACAACAAGCAATAGCACGACCCCAAATAATTTAGAAATACTATCGGAAGGTTTACCACCGGGATGGACCGTTCAAGTCGCTCCAAACGGTCGTTTATTTTTCATTGACCACAATGAAAGAACCACATCATGGGTGGATCCTCGTACTGGCCGTGCGAGTCCAATGCCTAATCAAGCAACTGTGCCTTTGGTCAACAGAAGACCTGATGACGATCTAGGGCCACTACCGGAAGGATGGGAGGAAAGGGTTCATTCCGATGGGAGGATATTCTTTATTGATCACAGTAAGCTATATTTGTAATTTGTGTGTAAATGTACCGAAATTTTGTAATAAAGACACGAGAACAACACAATGGGAGGACCCACGACTCTCAAATCCCCAAATTGCGGGACCAGCAATACCGTATTCAAGAGATTATAAACGAAAATATGAATATATGAAGGCGCAGCTTAGAAAACCGGTAAGTTGGTGGTGTGACCAAACAACATAGAAGTAAAAACGATGTCGATGTTTTTTAAGACAAATGTGCCCAATAAATTTGAAATAAAAGTGAAACGAAGAAGTATTTTGGAAGACTCGTTCCGGGTGATAACCTCCGTCCCTAGAGTAGAATTGTTGAAAACGAAATTGTGGATTGAGTTTGAAGGCGAAGTCGGTTTAGATTATGGAGGTTTAGCTAGAGAATGGTTTTATCTATTGTCCAAGGAGATGTTTAATCCCTATTACGGATTGTTTGAATATTCAGCCATGTATTTTTGTTTGTAATTGTTTGATCAGAAATTACAAGTTTTCAATTCTAGGGACAATTATACATTACAAATAAATCCATTTTCCGGTCTTTGTAACGAAGAGCACTTAAATTATTTTAAATTTATCGGACGCGTCGCAGGGATGGCTGTGTATCATGGAAAATTGCTCGATGGTAATACAGTTACCTGTAATTACTGACTTCACTTAGCATTATTTTCAGCATTTTTCATACGACCGTTTTATAAAATGATGTTAGGTAAAACAATTGATCTCAAAGACATGGAGTCGGTAGATTCGGAATATTACAAGTCGCTTTTATGGATAAAGGAAAATGACCCAAGTGGGTTAGATTTAACGTTTTCAGTAGATGAAGAATCATTGGGACATACGACCGTTCACGAACTGATTGAAGGGGGAGCCAACATTCCATTAGACAACACTAATAAAGATGAATATATCAAGTACTTTCACACAATTAAAAAAGAAAATTGTTCAAAATGAATTTTTAGGTGTATAATTCAGTGGCGATTTGTGGGTCGGGTCCAGGAACAGATGAATGCGTTTTTGTCCGGTTTCAACGATTTAATTCCCTTAAGTATTGTCAAAATATTTGATGAACACGAGCTTGAGCTTCTAATGTGCGGAATTCAACATATTGATGTCAAAGACTGGAAACAAAACACGTTATACAAAGGGGATTACCACGCTAACCATATCGTCATTCAGTGGTTTTGGAGGGTAAATGATTAATGTGATAAAAATGTTTCTCTGAATCTTGTTTTGTAGGTGGTTTTGTCGTTTAGTAATGAAATGAGAGCGAGGTTGTTACAATTCGTCACAGGAACGTCGAGAGTGCCAATGAACGGTTTTAAAGAACTCTACGGGAGCAATGGTCCTCAATTGTTTACGATCGAAAAGTGGGGCACGCCTGAAAATTTCCCACGAGCTCATACTTGGTACGGGAGTTTGGTTTTGATAAAGTGTTTATGTCATGTGATTTGTTGCAGTTTTAATCGGTTAGATCTACCTCCTTACGAAAGTTACCAACACCTCAAGGATAAATTAATCAAAGCAATTGAAGGGTCTCAAGGTTTCGCCGGTGTAGATTAGAGAACGTGAGGGAATTTGTATTCTTTTAACCATTAATCTGTCCATTATTTACTTAAGATTCTATCAGCCTGTATGAAATCTATTTCAATCATTATTATTATACAAATACTTTATAGAGTGATTCTTGAAGTCGTTATTTTTATCTGTATTGTACTTTGTAAATATTATACATGTTTTAAAATTTTAAACTATTTACTGTAGACTATATCCTAGCTTTGTTCTTTTTTAAAATTAGATTAGGCGAATTGTTGAACGTGAAGTATTTTATATTCCAAAAAGTTGATTCAATATACAACGTGTTAAATATACAAGTCATCAACGGAAGTTAAGTATTTTCACATTTTGCTGAGCCTGACATTACGAACCGATTTTAGTTAAGATACTTAAGTCCACTCCCTAAAAAAACAAACGTGTTTACTTTCATAATTTATGTTTTCTGTTGATTCTGTTTTTGTATTATTATATTGAATTGTATATATTTTAAATCTGAAATATGCTGTATTATGCTTTATATGTTATGTGGGATTAAAAAGTATATTTTAATAGACTCACTTGTTCAAAATTCGGCTTTAATTGCATCATCTTTTCCACTTCCCTCTAAAAATGCATAATGAACAATCAAAATGTAGTCAACTTGCAACCTTTTCTCAAAGTTGTATTTAGTGTCATTTGTTGATTTACCTAGGTACTTCCAAAAAGGGTGTTTGCGGATAACTAGTAGATCCGGTAACCACTAAAATAATTCGTTATGAGAAGTCAGTCTGAAGACCAAACAAATTCCGTATCCAAATTTTTTTTGCAATTTCCTTCTCTTGATTTTCACAAGAGTGTGTCTGTTCTTGTTAGGTGGAAGTAAAAATATCAATGAAAATAAGTGCCGTTTCAAATGGAGCGTATCGTCACCCCTAGAGTTCCTATATTTGAATAGTTGGAACTCTAAACGTCAATCCGAGCCAATTTTATATTATGTGGATAAGGTATATAAATACGTTCTCCCCTTTTTCATTAAAACAACACACAGTCGAATTCTTGGTCAAAATACTTTTCATTTGAGGCATCACAAACGTGGTGGTGCCATTTAAAATTTTGAAGGGGTTGTTTGTTTTACAAAGGGGGTTGATGCTACAATTTTCAAAAGTACACTAAAATAGTATCCCCTGTAAATAAAAACTGATCTGTCTCGGGATTAAAAAAAATACACTGTAGGTATGTTAGCTAAGTTTTTTGTGTTATTGATTATTTTGTTATTAATTATTAAATATATACTGCGAATTTTTGTTTTTGTCGTTTTGTCACCCTCCCCACCCTCAAGACATTTTTCTACCTATCTTTAGCTGCTAATTTTAATGATAGGCATTGTTGCTACAATTAACATTTAAAATTAAATATCTTTTAATTTATCAATTCTAGACATCAAAAGTTTATTTTTTAGAAATACAATTTATCAGTCTGAGATGCAAAAATAAAAAAAAATTGACATTTTTTTAACTTTTTACCACTTACAGTGGTAATTTTTTTTCCAGCTGTCTTAACTTTTTGTGTAATAAATTTTTAAAAAGAGGATGTTTTCGCGTAGAAAACCAACTTAATTCATAAACTAAGCAAAATCGACTAATAGAAGTTTAGCTTAAAAACAGTGACATTAAAAGCCAATTAAAAGCTACATTCTAAAATGTCAAGAAACATTTGGTGTTTCATTTAAAAAAACATATGTTTGTATTGTAACTTATTTTTGGGCCACTATGTATAATCAAAAATATTTTCCTTAAATGCACCCTAGAATATAAATAAAGTCTAGAAAATATCCAAATTTTCACTTAAATAATAACTGAGCTACAGAAGACGGGGGCTGAGATAAAGAACCCTGCTTATTTACAAAAAATTCATCCAATCAGATTAAAATTATATAATTTGAATCTGATTGGATGAATCTCAAAAATTTAAAAGATTTAATTGACTTAAATTTTGTGAGGGTAAGACACTATCCTGTAGCCAATCAGATACAAGCATCTTGACGTAAGGTAAATTGGAGGGTTGTTTATTTGTACGACTAAAAATCAGTTTGTTGTGTAAACAAGTGTAAAGGGCGCAAAAAATGGTGACGTGGAATGGGCGAATGGAGAGGATTATGCAGCCCCGAACAAAGGCTTTGTACACCGGAACTGTTACGAAATGGTTTTTGTGCCGTTTTTGAGGAAATTATTACAATAACGAGTCAGCTCTCGTACGAATCACTTGTCCGACTAAATTATTACTTATTATTTGGTGGTTCAGTGCGAAATCGTGTTGAAATGGGGTGATACACCCAGTGCGTGTGTGTTGTGCATTTTCGAGTGCTAATAGACATTTAGTGGTGCGCGACTTTTAAAATTTTGAGTGATTGGTGGGTGCCAATAGGGGGGAGTCTTCTGGGGAATGGAGGAAGCAGTCGTGCTACAAGGATCCGGATTAAAGGGTAAGTCAGCAATACTTTTTAAATTTTTAGAAAAATTACACCTATTAAATTGCATTAAATATTTTCAACTAATTTAATAACACGTTGTACTGATTTCATGTTTCTTGATTTACAGTAGGTCCGTGTAAGAAGCAGAGGCGAATTGCTACAACGGGTAGCAGAAGAAGATGCCATAAAGGTAAGTGCATTTTTTTTATTTATTGCAAAGTGAAGTGTGTGAATTTGTGATTTTTGAGTGTAACAGTAAGTATTTATTAAATTATGAATAGGAATTTTTTTTTGTTTTGAATAAAATGTATTTTTTCTCAAATACTTTTTTAAAATTTGTAGAAGACGAGTGCACATATTTATTTTTATAACAACCTTAACCAAAACTTGAACTATTTATAATTAGAGACATATCAGCAAAAACAAGATTAAGTATTGTACGAATTTTTTTTTCCAAAATAAATGATTAATTTTTCGTTTTGTTTCAGAAACTTCAATGACCAGTGAGTGCGTGTTGTGTATTTTCGAATGCTTAATAATAATTTAGTAGTGCGCGATTTTTAAAATTTCGAGTGTTTAGTGAGTCCAATGGGGGAAATGGAGAAGAATCGTGCTACAAGGATCCGGATTAAAGGGTAAATCAGCTATTCTTTTTAAATTTTTAGAAAAATTACACTTATTAAATATATATATTTTTTTTAATTAAATTGCATTTAATATTTTCAATTAATTTAATAACACGTACTGATTTTATGCTTCTTTATTTTCAGTAAGTCCGTGTAAGAAGCAGAGGCGAATTGTTACAAAGGGTAGCAGAAGAAGATGCCATAAAGGTTAGTGCATTTTATTTTTTATTTTTTTGTTTATTGCAAAGTGAAGTGTGTGAATTTGTGATTTTTGAGAGTAACAGTAAGTATTTATTAAATTAAGAATAAAAGTTAATTGTGTTTTAGACAAAACGTATTATGTGAAATTAAAAACATGTGAAACATGAAAAAGCAGTCCTTTTAACAACTTGTAATATTGTTAGGAAATGTCTCAATATAAACGAAATTCATTTTAATAACTTCAATAATACGAACTTAATTAATAATAATTTATTAAGTTGCGAGGCGGAAGATCTGTAGTGACGCTAGATTTTGGAATTTAATGGTGTTTTTTTCTTACATTAATCTCATTTCAACAATTCAGCATCATTACTTGATGATAGCTGTAATGGTGAATTTTGCCTGACTGCATGTCTAAACCGCCGGGTCAGTGGAGTGTAAAAGTTGTGGAAATTATTTGTTAGAAAATTATGTCTTAAAATAATTAATAACCTGCCAAATGGTTTCTTCTTCTTTTGCCGGGTCAAATAATAATAATAATAAAATAAGTGATGTGTGCGAATTTGTGATTTTTGAGTTTAACAGTAAAGATAAAATTTATATACAAGGTGATTCACGAGGAATAATGAGCCTGACCAAATTCTCGATGCAACCACCATTACTTTTCGCAAGTTGCTTTGCGACAAATGTAATGTTGGTTGCATCGAGAATTTGGACAAGCTCATTATTCCTCGTGAATTCTTTTTAAAATTTGTAAAAGACGAGTGCAAATTTATTTTTATAATGATTAATTTTAACCAAAAAAATTGGATCTTTTGTCTATATCATCAAGAACAATTCTATGTATTGTACGTACGAATTTAATTGTGTTCCATAATAAATTGTTAATTTGGTTTTGCTCCAAGTTCTCGAGCTCTACTAATTATTTAATTTTTTTTAAATCAACATAACCTGAATACGTCAAAGCATTTTTAGGTTAACTTCATTCAAAATCGTTGTTGTTGTCATTACAAACAAAAGTTCCATTTTTTCATCCCAGTTTAATCATTTTTGCGTGGTATTCCCCCGTTTTGGTTTAAATGGAGGCCTTGAATCCTGAAAATGTGCTCAAATTCATGGGTCTAGTGAACAATTTGAAACACAGTTCCCGGAGGGGCTGGTCGCTCATTAATGTGGAAAATCACGAACAGATTGCTGGACATATGTACGCGATGGGCATGATGACGTTTTTAATAGGCGACGATTCCAACTTGGATAGATTCAAGTGCCTACAATTGGCTTTAGTTCACGATCTAGCTGAATGCATTGTCGGTGATATAACCCCCCATGACAACATCCCCGAAGATAAGAAACATGCTCTAGAAGACAAGGCAATGAAAGAAATCACATCGCATCTAGGCGAGGATATTGGGAGCATGATTTATAAGCTTTACAAAGAGTATGAAGCAAAACAGACTCCTGAAGCAATTTTTGTCAAAGATTTAGGTGGTTGTAATTGAAGATTTAAAATGGTTTAACTGTGTTTTTTTAGATCGTTTAGATTTGCTTTTCACTGCTGTTCATTACGAAAAACGTGATAACACACCAAAGAGAATGCAGGAATTTTTTGACAACACTGAAGGTAAATTTAAGCACCCTTTTATCCAGAAACTAGTCAAGGCTTTAATTGAGTACCGCAATAGCCCCCAAAAAGTACAAGAAACATTGGCTAACAACAGTATTATCAAGGAATAAAAACTTTTATATAAAAAATAGTTTATTTGTTTACACATGGCATGTCATCATCTGGTGTTATATAAGGAGGATTATCAGTCTTCAAGCCAAACGAAAAGCCACCTTTTCCTGGCAGTTTGGGATAATAATTACTAGGGCCGGGGTAGGTCCCCCTATCTTGTAGTGCTTTGTGTTTTATTGACATGGAATAAGCAGGTGGCTTATTTTTGTAAGAGTTGGGAGAAGTAGGGTCGTATTTCGCAGGGCCGGGGGATTGTTCCTTAGAGCTTTGCTTGTATCTGTCTGACCTGAAATACAACAAATAATCATTAGAAAATTTGATTAAAACAATACTAACATGCTGAAAGCCCCATTTGCATGCTTATCGGGCACTTTAGGCCCCAGAGTTGTGGGAATATCGTAATTATTAGGTCCAGGGGTGACGAAACCTTTCCCAGCTTGGTGTCTCGACGACATTGAGTAAGCCGGAGGTCGCGGTTCTTTCATCCTGGGGGCATTTTGCAGGTCGTAAGCTGCAGGCCCCGGCCCCTGAAATGCGCCTAATGGGTTGGGTCTGGATGCCAGGGAGTACGCAGGAGGGTGGGCTTTGCCGTAGTTTGTCATGTATTCGGTGTTGTACTTAGGGCCCGGCCCGAGGTCTTTGCGACTCAGAGGTAGTTTAGACCCCATGGAGTACTGAGGATTGCGGTATTTGCTAGGGTCATGGTCTTTGTAACCGACTAGTGGGGGTAGCAGATATTTTCCTGGTCCAGGACCTGTAAAAATAAACTTGGCAAAGGCCTTACCTTAGTGGGAAACAGTGTTTACCTATTTGTGTTCGAACCATTTTTTATTTTTGTGCATTAGTTTTTACTGAAAATTTGGAAAGGTCGGGCGAAAATGGTTTTGAAATGTGTAAATAAAAATAAATGAATTCACTTGACATTTGTAAACGACAATTAATGTCAATACAGGAGGCCAGGATTTAATAAAATATGAATTAAAATGTAAAAACTTTATTTTTAGTCTTGTTACACAAAGCTTAATAAATTAGTTACATTAATTGGGAGTATAATAAATGTCATAAATGCCAAAATCAATTATTGACGATGGTCAAGCTACTTTCAGAAGTGATTTTTCCGCCTTTTCCGGTCCACTCCTCTTTCAGATCCACCTTAACTTCCAAGTCTCTTAAAGCCGCCTTAGTGTCATATTCAAAGTCCTTGAATTTCACTAAATTGTTCTTAAGCAACTCTTCTACACCCAATTCCAGGAAATGTTCATTTTGGTAGCGACTACGTGAAACCATGTTACGTATTGCCCAACTTGCAGATTTCTAAATTTTAATAATTACAAAAACAAAAAAGAAATTTGTGGAAAAACAACCTGAACCGATTTTTCATTTGGATGTTTTTGCATTATCGAAATTATGACTTCCGGCAAAGCTGCTTCAAATAACGTTTTGCTATTCTCTGGAGACCTCAAACATATAGCTGCCACACAACTGAGACCTCCCACAGCTGTCGGAACATTATCCTGTAATATTTCCAATTTTTAAATTGTTATTGAGTGATTTGAAATAAACCTGGTGAGCATTCAACGCATCTGAAATGACTGGGGCTAAACCTTTTTGAATTATGTGAACTTTGCACTCGTCATTTCCAGCTAAGGCTTTAAGAAATTTAAAGCACTGTCTTACAACTTTCTAGAACGTCATCATTTAACGATATTTTTGTTAACTTAACTTTTTGTTAAACTTACATCGTTGTTAAGAAAAGCAGTCATAACTTCACTAATTAATTCAATCCCACCAGCTTCATCTACTTGTATGCAAAATTCATTTCTTACAAGCAAAGCGGAAAGAGTGAGAATTAAATCATTAACAAGAATATCTTCAGTTTGAAATCCTAAACGTAAAAACAAACAGTTAAATAATAATTTAAATTGAGTGAGTAATCATACTTTTAATCAATTCGATGAGATGGTGTAACGTTTCTGTGGCTATAATACGTGCATGTTCATGGGCATGTCCAAATTCAACACGGACATCATCATCCAAAGTTAAGGCTCTTAAAACAACAAGTACATCTCTTAAAATAACTGGGTTTCCTTCTACCAAAAGTTTGGATAATTTATTCACGATGTTTAGTTCAATTAATTTTTGCCTAGAAAAATATTCTACTGATTTGTGTTGTTTGAGGAATCTTTTACCTGTTAATTTCATGCATTACACAACATTCTTTACACCATTTTAACACATATTTTTGTGTTTCTGGTTCACCTTTGTCCAGATTACTCAAAATGACTAAAACACCTCTCTCGTCAAGAAGATCAGGTTGTTTAGTCATCAATGACACCATTGCTTTAATTGCAGCTTCCATTATGTCTTTTTCGGCATGAGATTTAAGGAGAATGTCTAGTATCACATCATAAGCACCATCTTTGCCTTAAACACACATTTTATTACATTTGTATATTAATAAAATGAGAAACAAACCAGCTTGGACTCTATGTGGGAGTCCCTTATCACATTCTTTTTTTAGGTCTTGTAACAGTTCAATACATTCAGGAGTCAGCCTTTTGTCTTGAAACTCGGCCAGCTTTTTAACTGTATCCGACAGATTTTTAAAAGATTCAGGGTCGGTGATAATTTGACTCAAGTCAACTCCCTGGGAATGTATTAATTAGTTAGTAAAAAAAAAGTAAAAAAAGAGAATACTTGAGCTTCAAATTGATTGATGGCTTCAGCGACAGCCTCTTCTTGAGATAAGCCAAGTTCATTCATATTTTCTTGAACCGCTTCGTCGAAAGTTTGTTGAGATATCACCAATACCATTTTAGGAAATGATTAATAAAAATTTTATGCTAGAGTAACTTTACTAAAAAATTAAACCCGCGTATTAAGATCACAAATGTAAAGCTACTTTTTAATTTCAAACTACTGAAAATTTTGTATTTTAAATGCGGAAGTAATTTATAATTATAAAAAATATTATTAATAAACAATTCTTGTTTCGTGCCACTTTGTACAAAAATGACAGTGACTGAAATGTCAAAAAGTATTGCGCAGACCAAAGTCCCTAGATAGAGTTTTTTATAGGGTAATTATTGATCAACTTGTGGTGATCTTGTAAGAAGTTAAATTTATTAGAGTTAGGTTAGAGTAAATTTTTTTAATTTGTGTATTACATTAAATTATTATTAATAATCGAAATGGACGAAGTATTATCGAGTTTTGAAAATTTAAAAATATCGGCGTTTAGTAAATACAGCAAACTTACCGGGGACATAAACAACGTTACTATTGGGCCAAACAGTACGATTCTTCATGATGTTAGTGAAGAGGAACAGAAGACTGCAAAATTGCGAAAGGAAGAAAACATAGTTGAAGACAAGTCACCGAGGAGTCCACCACCTTTAAACCAAGTCCTACGTGAAATTGACACTCAGAGGCGCGAAAAATTACAAGAAACTATTGAAGATCATTACAAGAAATTTTCCAAGACTCGAAAGGAAGAGAAAGAAAGTCAGTGGTTTTTCAAGCAACAAGCGTTTATTCAGAGCATGCACGACACAGAACAGATGATATTACAAATGCTTAACCAGTCTGATGTAAATAAATCCAAACAAAACGAAAATTTAATAAAACATTATCAAGATATGATTCAGCGTAAGATGCAATATGAGCAACAAATAGAGAAGACTAAAGAAAAGCAACGGATTTTGAATGAAAATATTGAGAAGATAAAAAAATGCCAGCTTGAATTTAGGTCCGTGTATCAGGAAATAATCACAAGTATCAAAGCATGTACTTCAAGTGAAGAATTAAGAAAATCTTTAGGTGACAGCTTTAAGTTGTTGAAGATTCTTCCAGAAAGTTTAGATGAAGTTATTGCAAAATGTAGGAATTGCAACGTCGATGAAGAACAATTTTTACGGGCTGTTAGTATTGTAAACCAAATAAAAAGCTTGAAAAAGGAAATTGAAGAAGCTGTGTCAAAAATTAACCAAAGGAAGGTAGAGGAAACTGTTAAAGCGGCCCCTTTAACACAATCAACTCCAGTCACAGTTGATTCTAAAATTATAGTTGAAAAAAAAGATTCAATACAAACTATAACTGAATGTGTTAGTGTAACCAATTTAAAAAAGTATGTTGAAATCAAGCAGTTCTTATCAAACCATAGCCAGTTATATAAAGATTTGATTGCTGACGAGCAGCTTAAACAATTTAGATTTGATTGTAAAAAAGCCATAAACATACCTGTAAATGCAATATCTGCTGTAAATGCTGAGCATCTCAGAGACAAATACACTAAACTTAATAATTTGCTATCGGGAAAGACTGTGATTGTAGCGGAGAGACAAGTAAATGCTTTAAAACATCCTCAAGGTGGGTTTGTCGTTTTCAGAGTGAAAACAAAATTAATGTATTTTTTGTAGGGATTCCGTTCTGTATGGATTTATTAGCAAGAAAATTTGTCTTGCAAGGTGACTTAATGATTTCAAGTAACCCAGAAGCGGCTTTCTGTTATGCAACGATAATAATCTCACTATGGAACGATTTTCCCGATTTTGGGAATCTTCTGTTGGGCCATTTTTACACCGGATGCCCCTACTTGGTACCATTCTACATCCCAAAAACAGAAGAACAATCAATTGAGGAGTATTACCAGGTCTTGGGTTACCAATATGTTGATGGACAAATAGAAAAACAAGACAAATTTCTTAAACGGATGACTGGGATTTTGAGACTGTATTTTGCAATATTCATTGCAAAGCCAAAGAGGGAGCAGACAAAAAATCCACATGATATTAAAAATGCTTGGAATTTTTTGTCTTCAATTTTAAAATTAAAACCTCAATTGGATATCACAGCAACAGTTTTGCATATTTTTTTGGAAACTGTTGGTTTTGAAATGGAATTGGTTTATGGAATGGCCTTCAAGAAATTGGTTGTGATTATCATGGACAAGTTTTTGCCAACGTTGAAGAAAATTGATTCAGGGGGACCTGTAACGAGGCTGGAAGTGCTGTTGCAAGATTATAAAACCAAGGGGCATTTTGATACACCAAACGGAATTTTACCCAACAACTTTTGGTAATTTATTAATTTTGTGAATATACAACTTATGAATATACTTTTATTGATTTACGGGTCGAGATTTTTAATTAGTAATCTTCTATTGGGTTCATCTTCTAAACCTAACTCTATCCTGTTGACAACCCATTCGCTGTTGTGTTTACTAGCCCAAAAGTATATTTTTCCTTTCTGTTTTGGCCCTCTCACTGGAACTTCATAACGAGCCGAATGTTCTTTAGTGAAGTTTGTTTCTGTATCATCTATGTCGATTTTTCCTTCTTTGATCGGTTCGCCAAGTAGGTGAACAGCCCCTTTGTTGGTTCTCACAGTTTTTAAAGCTTCCTTGTAATAAACAGTGCTTTTAATGTTTTGGTCAACCTTATTTCTATAAAAAAATCCCATTGTGACAGTCGCTACTCCCCCTATGGCCCCTATTTTCACCAAAGTCATATTACTTACACCCATTTTTACTTCTGGAAAACAAAGTAAAACTATGTATTAAGGTTATGATCTTAAGCACTGATTACTCTGAAGTTTCGAAATTATATTTCAGTTTCGATAAAGTTTACCTTTACTACACAGAGAAAGTTATTTAATGTTTCAAGTAGAAGTTTATAGCATAGAATAGATTTAGAGTTCGTCTGAATCTGAAAAGCCGGAGTTAAGAGTCCGCCCCTGCATTCTGGCTACTGAATTTTTGTCTAAATGAGAAGAGGCAAATAGGTTGTAAGAGCGAAAAATATTATTCAAGATTTGATACGTTTTCTCAATTTATTTTGATAATTTCCCTGCTATAAAAAACTGCGTTATTTTATATTTGTACCATTTTTTACCCAGCAAGTTAAAAATTCTTTCGGTTGTACGGTATTTCTAAATTAACGGTTATTAAAAAGAGATAGATACACGACATGGTAGATGTGATTTACCATTGACCAGAGAAAGAAAGCGCTAATTTATTTTTAGAAAAGGTGAAATATGTGGTGTGAGAGAGAGAGCTGTATCAAAAAGTGTGTCGCAAGAGATGGTCGCTGGGTGTTGTTAATTTGTTGTGAATTCATTGTTGTAAATATAAATATTTTATGGTAATTATTAATTCTCCATCACGTATTTATTTATTTAATTTATTGGGAACTTAAGGTCGAGTGATAAAATCTGCTGCGCAGTGCTACCTAACCTCATTTTATAAATTATACAATTTATCTGATCTTGGATTGTGCTATTGATATTTGTAAAGAAAATGGCACAGTGGATAGGATATATGGTCTCAATTAAGTGCAGCGATGACAACGCTTATCAAGGTGAAATTAGTGCAGCTACAACTTCTCAAATCGTTCTAAGTAAAGCTTTCTGTAACGGCATTCCCTGCCCTTCAAACGAGGTGACCATTAGGTAGACACGTTGCCTCATAATTTTCTTGTATTTTCATATTGAAGTTTTTTAGAGCAAACGAAATTGAAGAATTGAAGTTAATCGACAAGCATTTGAGCTCACCTCAACAGAGAAGTACAATAACGATCGCAAAACCGATCGCGAAACGCGCTGGGCGAACTCAGAGCACCTCAGATGTTACGAATTCAACATCTAAGCATACAAATTTAAATGGATCTCACAGCAAATCAAAACCCATTGATATTGAACCCAAAAACACAAATTATAGTTTTAATGAATCCAGTTCATTTAAAAATGGAACCCCAATCAGACGAGAAAAGTCAAAAGGGAAATGGTCTAAAGGTTGGAAAGATGAAGAGTGTTTTGGCTCACCTTTGGACCACAAAATCAATAAAGATTTCGATTTTGAAAAAAATTTGGCGCTTTTTGATAAACAAGCCATTTGGGAAGAGATTAACAATTCCCAAAAGCCGGATGTTATTAAAAATGCCGACAGCAAGAAACCGTCGAAATACAGGTTTAAAAAAAATATGTATGCACAATCATAGGGATTATTTTAGGCATGATGAGAACGTTATTGCAACCACCCCTGCATCATATAGGCAGATAATAGTGCCTAAACAAGACTTCTGTGAGTATGTAACAGACGATGGGCTGATTATACCAAGCATTTCAAGATCTTTGCGAAAGAAATTGTGGGAAGTTGCTGATAAAGTGGGGCTCACATGGGATAAGAGAGTGGAGCTGTTTGGGAGGGCAGCTGCTGAAATTTCTATTCAGTTATTAGGGGGCGGGCATAGATTGAATCCTCATAATTCGCACCAGTTTCCCACTGTTGTTGTGTTGTGTGGGCCTCACAAGTAAGTTTGTTTAATTTTTTCTAGGTCATTTTTACTGTTTAAAAACATTGTTGTATAAGAAAAAAGGTCAAATAAACAACTTGTTGCAGACAAGGGGCGATGGGTATTAATGCTGCCCGACAATTGGCCAGTCATGGTGTCCACACGATCGTCTATGTAGTCTCCTCGGAGGTCGCGGTAATAAAAAAAGAGCTGGCCCTGTACATCCTCACCAAAAACCCAGTAATCTATTCCGTAACGAATCTCCCGAATTTCGCCGATTTGATAATAGTTGCATTGTGCGAAGATACGGAAAGTCCAAAGATTTACTCTGATGTGTGCGATTGGGCTAGTAGAAATAGAGCGTCTATTTTAGCTTTAGATCCCCCTTCTGTCGGGATACCTGGGATAACCCCCAAATTTTCCTTGCTCCCAGTTTTACCTCTCCCCCATTCCTCCAAAAATGGAAAGTTGTACTTGTGTAACCTGGGATTCCCCCTTGAAATATTTAATGAGGTGGGGATCAAGTATAAGTCGCCCTTCGGTCCCAAATTTGTCATACCTTTACATCCAAAGGATGACTAGTTACTTATACAACAGCGAAGCTCCTTTATTCTTTGACATATTTCTATACTTGAATGCAGATTCGGAAATAATTAGGATTTTTACATAAATGACACGACCAGTGTTTTTCAAGGCAATAGGAAATTGTTTTTTTTTCCAGAAAATTTTCAAGACATTCCAATTTGTCACAAAAGAGCCAGTTGTATATTTTCTAACACATCATGTACAATGTTGTCAATTTTATTGTATACTTAAATTTATTCGGTTTTATGGAGAAGTTCATTTAAATTGTGATAAAAATTTAAATTGATAAGTATGTCTTTTAACGTGATAAAAAAAATGGTGTCATATTTTTTGAATTCAATTTTGTTTCAATCCATAAATTAATTAAAAGCTATTATTTTTAATTATTTTTTTTTGTAACATTACAAAGTGAAATAAAAGTGCATTTTCCAAAATTGATTTTTTATTAAGTATGGCTTAAATCCACTTTTTCAAACCCCTACATTTATTCTGCGTAAGTATTCAAATATATTTTTTTGGTAACCTAAACTTACAAAGTCGGTCAAAACTGTTAAAATTTGTGATGTTATTACAATGCATCATTAGAAAAAAAAACAGTTACTGGTGGTAAATACATTCAAAAATGGTGTAAGTGCTACGAAAACAAAGAGAAATCTGAAGTGATTCTTATTTTATGGGGTTGTTGCGCATTTTACATAGGAATATAGCTTTTAAATTACAGGACACATTAGAATCTTAACGATAAAAATCAAAAATATTGCTAGAATCGCTAAATTTGAGCACTACATGTTGAGCTACTACTGACTGTATTTACAAACATCAGTTAAAAAAGATTGGGGATTATGATTGTTTTATTGATTCATATGTAGATATTATAAAATTATTCCCCACCTTTATATACACCATGAATGAGATTTTTACATTATTATAATATAGACTACTCATGTCGCACCATAAATATAAAACTTGGATTTATCTCAAATTTGGTCTAAGGGTTGGAAAATTTTATATTTTAGTTGCGACTTTGGATATTGTCGGTTTTTATGAAACATTAAATAATTTTCAAAATATCACAATTACAAATATAAACGCAATAACTTACTGAAGTATAGTTGACCTCAGGTGTACATTTAGAAAAAATACGCCAAGTGGTAGACAACCTAAGAGACTCGAGATTAATATTTTTTTTATTAATGTAGCAATTAGTAAAAATACATATAGATTTTTAGTTGGTGTTTTTTGTTTAGTTTTAAATTAACACCTTACCTGTCAAACACTATAAGAAATGTAATACCAAAAATATCATCTTGTTGACAGTCAATGTGTTAATATTTTATAATTAAATAAATTCGTTGATTCTAAGGTCAACTAAGTAATATATTTCCTACGTGAACTAATTTAATGGAATATCATCTACAGAACACAAAATTTATAATAATTTAAATGCCTCCTAGAAAAAATATGTTAACGTTTAGGAAGATCAGGATTATCACTACACTTTAACATAATTTTTTTATAATCGAAGATCTATCTTTGGCAAATAATATACAGGAACGAGAAAACATTGAATATTAAATCAGGGTAATAGTTTTATGCACCCATTGTTCATGTTAAGGTTTCTCATTATTACTACATTTCGCAAATATGGATAGTGTATATATCATAAAAAAATGTTTAAACAATGCCAAACTGTAGAAAAGACGTGCATTTGTGATATGAATACTTTAGTGTGCGATGAGTCGCTAAATTGAAGTTCACAAAAAGACGTAAAGACACTCATAAGTAGAATTTAACACATTGTCTCCGACTGCATGTGAAGACTATCTTTGGATTCGGCCTTTTGCACTTCTCTTTGTATCGGTAACTGCGAAGAGTCCATCAGTATGGAAGGTCTCTGGGGCATCGGGGGTTGATTCAAAAGGGCTGACGTAATATCGTTGGACTCGGTTGAATCCTGGCGCTCAGTTGAATCACCCTGATTTACCGAATCACTGCCAGAATCTGAAACACATTGTCACACAAAACCTGCAATTATAGGAAACTGTAATACCTAAAGGTTGAAAGTCCCCTTCTACAGCACTTGCTCTCCTCAACGGTCTTGAACCGATGGAACTAATCCTAAATTCGCGAGTTTCGGTAACTACACTTAACAGGTCCGGATTGAGGGGTCCGTGCTCGCCATCCTCCTCCTCGTACCGCCTCTGTATTAGATTTTCCATGACCATGTAATCGCACTCTTCGGCGCTGCGCAAATGTTCTTTTTCAAAGTTGATTGCGATTTCAGGGTTTGACATTTCAGATGGGTGTCGTCTGCGCTGACCTACACAAAGAATAATCATTATTTCCTATTAATTTTATAATTATTGCTAATTCATCGCACTCTACATCCCAACTCCGCTAGCAGTAACGAAGCGGTGATTTGAATGATGGATGATAACTTACTTGGGGGCGATTGTTCGGGTCGTGGCGGTGATAATAGTCCCGGTGATCTTGGAGGACTTAGTAAGCCGCAAACACTTTCGAGTTCGTCAGTGATGCTCGTATATTCAGTATGCATATGCATTAATAAAGCCGTTCGATTACTACCACCTGCGATGCTAGTCGGTGGAATTACTTTGATTCGGGGCTCGGTGAATGTTACACTACGTTCCAGCGTCATGGGTCGCGATGGGTTGGTGGCAGTTGCAGGAGGATCACTAGTTTCAGGTTCGGAGTGGGTTTGGGATAGTTGTCTTTTGTTAAGACTGCGTTTGCTTCCATGGCTCGAGTCTTCGCCTAAGGAGGGAATGGGAATTTATTGACACTCCTTCTATGGAGTTTTTATGACAGAGGAAGAATGAAACACAGAGAATGAAAAGTGTGCTAATAGGTGGAACACATTCAAGGAACTAACTGAATCTGTTATAACAACATTGAGATTTTGAGCATTTGTAAATCACTTTCCACCACTACATATTTTATTTTATCGCGATGAAGAGAGTTTAAAATAGCTCGACAAACAAGCAAAACATTGAGTAACTTGCATGGTTTCTGTGTTTATTTCTTTAGCTAATTTTAATTGCAAAAATACGATAAAATGTAGGTTTTCACATAACGTGATAGCCTACGTAACTTGGGCTATTTATTCCTTCCGACGTTCTCTAAAAATACTTTACTTATTGATATGTAACGCAAGCTGAAGTGTGCTTTTAACACTTACACTTCCATTAAGACGGTTATTATTCTCATATTTCGTAAGAAAATTATTCAACAGTAATTTTTTTTCACTGTATCATTATACAAAATGTAAAATTATTATTCATTAATCTTGGTTCCAAAAAATTGACGAAACTTCAAATGTGTAAAATAAAAATTAATTACAAAAAATGAATAACACCTTGAAGCTATCAAAGAGTGGAAAGAATAGGATATTAATTTAATTTACATTATTTTTTATTTTTGGTATAAGTAAATTCTACTACGTGTACTACGTGTGAAGATCACTGCAAACGACCTTAATTAAAAATTATGTAAGTGCTTCGTACTTGTGTAACTTTTAGAATAGCGTCTAAAAATAAATAGAATAATGGAAAACATAAATACATGAATTTATTTCTTCGATAACTCCCATTAAAATAACACAAAAAAATGAATTACTATGATGGGGGATGAATCAGAATGAAACTGAAATAAAACATACCCTCCTTCCTGTAATAGTGGTAGAAATATAGGCTTTGTGGTGAAAAATGTTCTAGGAGTTTTTCACATGCTAGCGGAAAAATACAAAAGCAGTTAGATACAGCGCGTTGTAAGTATAAGCTCAGTGTTTTTTAAAAAAATCTTGCCCTAAAGCAGTTAGTAATTGGAAGCAAATATCTTCTACATAGAAAAAGTGAAGAAAAAAAACTCTTTTTTTGGTGCGGTCTTTTGTGTCCTTTCCATTTTAGTTTGGTGCTTTGATTAAAAAAATCGGACGACACAACAAAACGTACCAAATAATTTTCTCCGTTTAAAAACTACTAATTACGAAATTTGAATAAATATAAGTATGATAAAATTACTGCCAGCCTCACCATTTCCACCGTCGGAACTTCGCCGTCCCGTTCCCGTCGAATCTTTCCTTTTTTGAATCGCCCAATTTCGTAAAACTTCCAAACTTAGGGCCCCTAAATCATCGGCTGAAACTTCAGCCGAATCGTTCGATGTTTTAGAATCGGTGCTTCTGGTTCGTTGCCTCTCAAATGTCACGGGTTGTTGACTTTCTACAAATGTTTGATGTTCAAACTTCGATTCATTAACTAATTATCAAATACCTGATTTTGGTAATGGATCAATTTCTTCGTTACACTCCTCCTCTTCGTCATATCTGTATTCGATATGTTGGCCATTGTCGAAAATGTAAGCATCTGGTCGAACCTCTGTCAAAGATCTAACAATTGGCTTTCTTTTCGTTACCGAAGATCCAATTTTGAGGGTTGGAATGTCCTCCACGAGAGTTTCAGTAGGTTCACTGACTGTTCTTTCGCGTATAAAACCAGCATCAAACGATGGTCCTGTTGTAGAACATTGACTTTCGATCGAAATGCGAATTTTTTCCATTTCAGTCGAAACTTCCTGTAATTGGTCCACTAGTCGGCGACATCTTAATTCGAGATTTTGCAGGGCAGTAGTGTGAATGTTCTCTTTGGTATTGATATCTTCGACTTTCTGAAAGGAAAAATGTTTGTGAAGCTATAAAGATATTTGATAATTTAGTAGCTTCTAATAAAATAAACAGAAATGACCTTTTTGTTTCATTTTTATTGGATCCGTAAGCCGAATACCAGTTAGTACATAAACAAGTGTTTATTGAGTAATTATTGCTTTTCACTACACCATAAATAATTTATTTAGTACTAATTTTCGAAACGCAGAGTTGCTCAAGGGAAATGTTTAACAGACTGGAAAAGCTAATTGTATTAATTGTGCCTACACGGAGTCAAAAATCAATACAAGTAACAAATATTAAGCGGTTGTATGTCGAAAAATGTGTTCGACCGTCAAACTAATAAATTATTTATTTTAATATATTTTTATACAGTTAAATAAATATTGCACCAACCTGCGTGAGGTGTTCTATTCGTTCAGTAGTAACTTTTATTCTTTCTTCAGTCGACTGTTGCAATTTGAGCTCTTGTTCGGCAAAATAACCCTCAACACAATCTTCCTCAAAATCGTACAATCTTTCCATTTCATCCCTATCTAAAAACAGCTTTAATCCGTTATCGTAACTTTCTTCCTTCCCTTCCATTTTTCGTCTCAAATACTTAATTAGTAAATAAATGTGACAAAATATGATAAATGGAGGTGGCAAAATTGGCTTCTGTTCATATTCCATGACGACAGTAAATCTTTGGAACATCCACACTTGGTGCGCTACTGAATTCACTTCATTAAAAATGTTGTTGAAAACGGCGATAAGAAGATTGATAAGGAGGATATTAGCGACCAAGAGGTACACAGACATAATGACTGGAGACACCCAACGGCCTGTTTGACACGGCTTCTCTTCATCTTCGCCACAAGGAGGGTCGATTTTGTCTGCGTATACTTCACCGTACAACATGAAATAGGGCTCCAAAAACACCTAAAGTATTAATTTTTTAAAAAGGTCGTTTATCAAAATAAACACGTACATCTCTGGCAATCCCCCAACTGGGTGGGCTATCAGGGAATAAAATCGCCTGTCGGGACACCCCGAAACTCATCAAAACAATGAGTAAAAGAACAACGAAATAAATCATGTTTTTAACCATTTTACCCATCATTGTGACCAATGGACCTACAATCAATTAATTTAGGAAAAATAATCGACTTAAAGGCACTTTACCTAAATATTTGTTTACGCTCAGAATATTCAAAATGTGCAAATACCAATAAATGCTATTTACACAGTAAAAAACTCGCCCGACTTCGAAAGTACTTTCTTTGAATCTGAGGGCGACCCCAATTAGGAAGAACAAAACTGCCGCCATGTCGCACGGATTCCATAAATTCCAGCACCAAACGGCCAGTTTTTGTTTAAGTCCAACTGGTTCGGAAGAAAATAGTTCTCTTAATTTCTCACAACCGAATGTGCACATGAAAGAGATGGCCAACCACTCTTGCCATGATGGATTTTCATTCATTTTCACCAAAATCGTGTAACTGAATATTATCAAAAAAGTTATGTATGCGATCTGCAACAACACAATAAATATGTTTGGAAGTTTAGGAGGCGCTTTGTGCTTACAGAATTGGCCCAGAATTTGGTGATGGGGGCGGTGTAAAATTCGTATAATTTTTTGCTTATTTTCAATTCGCGATTTCGGGAAACTCTTTCTTGGGGTACGTCGGTGAAAAACACATGATATTTATTTTCTTCTGGATCTGACAGCACTTTGCCGTTTTCTTGCACGACGGTTTCGCGTCGGATGAAATTTTCAGTGAGTAAAGCCTATAAAAGATTGTAATTACAAAAAACTGATCAACTTTCAAAAGCTCATTTCTGGAATAAATAACAATGAAAGCGGTTTTGAGAGAATAAGCGAAGACCAAAAACATGAAGCTGGTCACTGTATTAGTGTCAAATGACAGGATAGAGACATTCAACACGTATACAACATACAATAAAGTAGTAAGAAAGGTGAGAAGAGTCGAGGAAATTTTTTTTTACACAATTTCCTCATCTCTTTTTTTTTCAGATTTTTTGATTTGAATGCGCTTGGGTGATGTGGTGTGTAATAAATGTAAATATGTGTAACAGTGAAAAAGGAAAATTTTGCAACAACGAAACACTTTTTGTTGGTTGCTACCTTTACACCTTGAGGGTTTGCAGACTTGCTTCTCATACTCAAACTTCTAGTGCGTTTCTATAAGAAATAATAAACCAAGGAAAATTAAGACACCTTATAAGAATTTCAAGTTAAAAAAGTTTCATTAATAGAAACGGTGAGTGGATAATAAATGTGAAAGAATGTTATTTTTGGAAAAGACGCTTAGAGTAAATAAATCTTAACTAAATATAGAACAGAATTTAAACAGAATCTAAGTCAGAGAAAATATATGTAAAAAAGTGAATAGTGCTTTATTTCCCGAGATAATTTTTTGTGGTATTTACAATTTTGCATTTCAGTGTGCGAAAAATAAGAACTGCTTACTTTGGGATAAAGCTCAATATAATGTTTTCGTACCACTTTACGCTATAAAACAAAGATATCGTTAGATCAACGATCACCGTTACTTAAAAAAAAAATAAAAAATACTAACACTTACTTCCCCATCGACATTTTTGTCGGAATCGGACTTGTCATCGTCGTCATTCTCCAATTCCATATGTTCTTCAGTTGTTTGCGGCATTAATTGCAATTCTTCTTTGGATTTGAACTCGAGTTTCAGGATGTATGGAGGACACAAAAGCCCCAACATGATCTAAATATGATTATGAAAAAAAAAAAAAAACAAACAAAATTATTTATACCTTCAAGTTTGTATTTTTGCGTGTTCGCAAGCCGCCCATCCACAAATCAGCAAGAATTATTTGCGAGCACGGATGTGCCAAAAGCGCCCTGTGATTGGCAGCGACAGCGAGACTTAGACACGTTTGACCCGACCAGTTTTGTAGTTCACAAGTTAAAAGTTGTTGTGTTTGATCGTCGTCTTGCCTGTAGCAAAAATCCAAAACTTCCAAAGCTGCAATTTCACGATTTATTTCAAGTTTCGTTTCGTTTAATCGATCCACAAACCTATATTTTCGAATTCTTTGCCGTAACTCCTCAATTCTTCATAAACTTCCGTTTCCATGTCATCTTCAGCGGCTTCGTGAGCCATGGCTTTATATAATTTACAACCTACTAATGCCTTCGCTAACGCTTCTTCCCCGTGTTGCCACATAAGCAGCGCCATTTTATGTCTTTTCATTAACACAGCCCATATCTTAAAACAATTGATTACTCGGGTCCTCCTCTATTGCTCCAACTTACCAAAAGCTCGTTAAAAGGATAATCGAATAGACAAGGATTCGCATTTGACGGCAAGGCTTGAGCCAACAGACTCATTGCGTTACCGTACTGTTTGACGAAAGAGGTGGAGTTTCGTTGCATGTTTTGGCCCTTATTCATGACTTTGGCATAAATTGGCCGGAATTTTCTCCGGGTGTAGAAAGCCCTATAGGCACCTCCCATCAACTTATTAATAACTAGACCGATATCGTGCAAAGTGTAAACATAACCGGCGGGTATGTGAGGTCGCACGTCCCTCAAAATATACCGGAGAATATTACTAGGCCCCTCTTTGGAATTATAGAGGTTTTCCAGTCGAGGTATAGTCAAAAATTTTCGCATGCTAACGCCATTTTCTAATAATAGCTTCACAAAATCGCATCTATCGTGCTCTAGTGCTTTCATCATAGCATCCTCGAGAGCACCACGTGGCCATTCCTGACCGTAAATAAAAATTTCTGATCGTGCTATATCTGCTCGATTCCATGTAAGCGCGAGACTGAGCTGTTCGGTGGGAGAAAGATGTTGGGATTTAAACAATGCTGTTAGCATTATTTGGTCAAGTTCTTGCGGTTTTTGATCATATTTGTCGGCAATTCGAAAAACTGTAATCTAGAAGGAAAAATTTTAATCACCTTCTTATACCAAGTTGAAGAAAGGTTACCAAATTTTTATTTTCAACACATTGCATTAATTCGCCGTAGAGACACTCGGCCAACTCTCTGTTAACTTCAAAAGCTCTTGTTATTGTTGCGATAATATAGTCTCGCATAGATTTTAAGACCGACAGTTCATACCTTAAACCAGAAATGTCGAGCCGAAATTAATTAAATTGAATTAAATTACTTGCACATGAAGGCAATTAAGTCAGCTGCTCGACCTGACCCATCACAAACCACAATAGGGACAGGTGGATCATCAGTGACGTATTCTAGGACAGCTCTTATAGTATTAGTACCTCCTTCTATGACTAAACAAACTATAGGTATGGGACTTTGGGTAACTAAAACATTTAAACTAGAAATTGCTTCCTGAAATTGTTACCAACTAACATGGATATAGTCTCTGTTTTGATATGTATTTTTCCAGTCTTCGCCTTAAGACTATTTCCGCACCGTATTTTCCAACAGTCCCATTATCGACTAGTAGGAAATAAGCGTGTCTATTATTTAAAGCTGCAAACTTGGACCTGAAAATTACAAAATTTGTTTCACATGCTATAAAACCGTTTAATATAATCCGGTGTTAGTTTATACCACGTGCTCTAGACATTAAATTTCAAGTAATAGACGCAATAAAACCACTTGAATGCATAAAATATATCTTATTTTCACCGATGTGATCAGTACTAAGTGTTTTAAAAAAGTCACTCTACGAAATTATGGCTGTAATAAATTATTAGCGAAGTTGCAATGATGGAGTTTTCTTGACTCTAATGCGAAATAAAATTTGATACAAGTTGAAAATGTAACGTTTCCATCGTGTTTTATGGGTAATGGCCAACAAAATATTTTGATTTTTATTTTACCGTTGTATTATATCAACGTTCATTTAAAAAGAAATAACAATGGTACAGATTACACAAGACTAGTTTAGTTTACGCGCTACTCGCTTGGGATTTGTTTGGAGTTATTATGGAGTAATTTGCTCGACTCAATTTCAACTTTATCCGCTAGATTGTGTCGCGTTTGTTTACGATTTCCTCAACAAATTCACCAAGGATTTAGTTAAAAAAAGTAAGTTAATTAAGTTTGTTGTTCGTACCAAAGAAACATAAACCCTAATATTTTAGTCAAGTCAAGTCAAAATTGGTACCATTCTTGTGACGAGTTTTCAACAGCGTGTCAAAGTGACACCCGTTCATGTCAAGTCGTCAAAATTTCCGTATGTATTTAAAAACCCTATCATGAATCGCCTTGTTTCGCTTCAAACCAAACTAAACTCACGTTTCTTGTCACATCTCATTCGTCCTTCCAAAATTTCAAAACCAACTTCACGATGTACACGCCTCAAAACCGAAAAACGTTACATCCAATCGTGCAGCAAAAATTACCGAATGCCTAAAACGCCGGACCTTATTTACGTGCCTCACGTTTTTCGTTGGGTGAAATCCAAATTGCGCTTCAAGTATTTGAAAAAAATTTGGGACCCCGAATTCTCGGAGGGAGCTTTCATTTACGGATCGACAAAAGCTGTATGTAGAATAACCGAAATTATTAGTAGTGGCAGACTCGACGAACTTGACAATTTAATGACTGTCTCTGCCAAAATTCGTCTTCAAGACGACATCAACTATCGCCTAAGTCCAGATCAGAAAAACTTGATTTTGCTCAAACCTGAAGATATCAAAATTTTAATCCCGATTACTGTCATCCTCACTAAGGAAGGAGCAGGCAGGATGTGCAGAGTCAATTTGCGAATTCTAGGACTGAAATGGCATGAGGTAACGAGTGACAATTATAAATTGGTTCTGGTAGCATTGCAAACGGAATTCTCGAGAGATTATAGCGACGACGCAACGCCCGAATGGATTATAAGCGGATTCTCGATTTTGGAATGTGCGATGTTAACGGAAGCGACTGCAACGAGGTGATGAGATAATTTGTTTCACTTACCTGGGCGATGATATTGAGTGATATGGCACTTCCGTATTGTGACCAATAAGTTCTTGGTTGTTTTCGACGATACCCCATGGCGCTATGCCCAGGGTGTTTACCCTTCCGGTCCGCTGGGAACGCTCAAGGAGCAGTGCGTCTCCGATGTGCTTTGTGACTCCTGAAAATAAGTAATTAAGCAATACAAATGTTAATTAAATATACCTCATTAGAAAAAGAAAGGCTTTTATTTCAAAACTAATTAACCTTTAAGTTTTTTAAGAACAGGATTTGCCGTTTTGGGCATTGAATAAAAAAATGTTTTTTTAATACATTTTTTAGAGATGTCTTCAAAGATTTCCTACAACATACTAGAGAGCTTATGCGTTATTTTTTATACACCCTGTATACGCTTTTAGACACATTATTTTTTTAATATATAGGGTGTTTACAGTCTTGGAGTTGAAATTTGACCTAGTAATAGAAGAGTACAGAAACATTGTAACCGAGAAAAAAAACTCACACAATTGTTATTATCAAGAATGTTATTTAACTCCAAAATATTGGTACACGGTTTGAGGGTCACTGGAATTATTTCCTTGTTCAGATAAAATTGTATTGTTGCAACAGATTAAAAAATCGTATCCATGATAATGAAAGAGAAAAGTCATTTCATAGTTTTGACACTGTCATCATTTGATTTGCTTTTGCTTTAGTTTTTATCAAAATTCGAAGATCTTCTGTTTAATATCTTTCAGAGAAATGGTTTCCTACAGGTTTGATTCGTTTTTCTTAATTTTTCTCAAAATTTATGAACATGTATGGCAAAATAATAAAATTATAAATTGGTTGTCATGATTATGATTTACAGTGAAACACAAGGTAATAATACTACTGGCCATTGTTGCAGCCGAAGCAGCAGTTCTCAAACAACAAGTAGTGTAAAATGAATAATTTCCTTTAACAACGTGATTTTTTGTTTCATATAGCGTATTAATTTTCTTTTACCGTGAATATCATCTCATTTAAATTTCAACCTCAATACCGTAAACACCCTGTATAGTTACTTATTGTTTATAATTATTTAGCTTGTTTGGTTTTAAAAGCGTGTTGCCTATACTTATTTAGATTATGTATTTATTAGACTTATATTATTAATTAAATTATAAACGTCAAAAAAAAAACAAATAAAAATGGGAAGGTTATTAGTTAATAATAATTTATCACAAAATTGAATGAAAATTTCGTAATAACAAACGATTTACATAAATTACTAGTTTCAAGGTGAAAGTTATGTGTACATAATTACCTTAAGCACAACATTTGTTTATACTAATTACAACTGCATTCCAAAATGGCATGCATTTTTGTTCTACTTGCTTGTGTTTATTCATAGAATGAATAAAATATACCGTTCGGATTTCGATTATGATGAGCTTTTTGACACTATCGCTTGGAAGAGAGGATAAATTCATCCCATTTCAAAACAGATAAAATAGAATTTTATGTTGGTTTGGTTATTCCCTTAGATATGTTTCAGCTTTCAGATTTAAAATTTTAAGCCATTAACACTTTGCTATTTCTTTTTTTTTTCTTTAAAATTTTAATCATTTACAAATAATTGTGCATTACACTCTTCTTTGCAAGAAACATGATAAATATTTTTTGCCTTACTAAACAAAAATATTTTACCTCAATTTTTCTTTTTATGAATGTAATTTAAGTTGCTAGAATTGCCAATGTAATTTTATGTGAAAAACTCTCCGAAATTTCCATTTCATGGAAAATCTTTGTTTGTGTTCAAAATCAATGAAAAGTTATATGAAACAACTATCCTCTTAGAATTTTGTATCACGTTGTTGAAAAGTTTCAATCAAACTCCCTCCTTGACTTTAATTTGATTCACTTTCAAGATCACACAATATCTAATTTTCAATGAAATTAAAATCGAACCTGTATTCGTGCCGCCGGTAAAAATCCAAGCACCGGTGGAGCGAGCCGCTTTCAGTAGGCCTTTACGTAAAACTTTCTTCAGTTTTGGTTGTAATTCGAAGTTAGCCTTTCCTCCTTGGATGGAAATGAGCAGTTTAGGGAGTTCCAGATTCCACTCCTTCGTAATAAGCTGCATGAGATGTTCCGGTTTTGTATCGTGAGCCACTCTGATGTACTATAAAAGAAAATTTCACAACTTGTTAAAGTTTTATTTAAAAGAAGAAGCATCGTCCACCATTTTATGCCTCCTTGGGGAACGTACATCAGTTCCGCGTTTTTCAAACTCAATTATAGAAATATATAGAAATATAAGCATAAAGTTGTTGAACATATTGGAGTGCATGTTATTAATTTATTTTCAACCAAATATGCATCTCTCGTGCCCTTGTATAATGATGCAAACCGAGAATTGCCATTAGCGAACATAACATGAAATTATTTGTACATGGCCATTGTGTGTTAACATAGGAGCACTAAATTGGAAAAAATTTCATAAAATTTATTGGAATGTCGGACATTATTGGCTGAAATTAATCCAATTGTAGTTCAAATGCGACCATTATTTTACATTAATGAACCTTGATATCGATTAAAATTAGAACTTTGTTTACGGATAAACTTGGTAATTTTTTATAAAGAAAAATGTAAGGTCGGCCACCAAGTCGGAAGAAAACCTATAGTGACAGATAGCTGCACAAGACGATGATTAAGTAGAAAATGCTATTAATGCGGTTTGAAGCTGTAAAAATCTCAATTTATCATTATAAATATTGAAGTTGTCCTAAAGAGTTTTTGACAATAAATCCCTCATTTTATTTAGTTAATAATCCACCCTTTGTCATAATAATTACTTTAGAAACCTCAAAAATTTGTGGCCACCCGAGCTGTCTCAACTTTGGGGTTAAGAATATTCAAGGGATAATAATGGAGTTTATGTACACTATATAAAGACGTTTCCCTCGTGGCAGTTCCAGCTTCCGCATCCGGGAACCGAATTCTCATAAATTCAACAATGACAAAACCTCAAAACTCACCTGATAAAAATATGATTTTATAAAAAGTAGTTTCGATATTGCGCTTTATATGGAATTTTTAAGATAAATGGTATTTATTCGCATCGAACTGGAATGATTACGGATTTTATTAGGAAAGTAAATCATGCTTGTATTACACTTGTTTATGAGAGCCTGAATCGCAGCATCTGCAGCATCCAATCTGTGAAATTACAGTCACTCGTAATCGTAAATAATAAATTATGCACAGTTCCAGGGAGTTTTGAACAAACTTTTTAAATTATTGATAAATCGTCGGTGGAAAAATTACAAACAATTTGTATCAAAAGTAGTACCTGCAAAGTAATCAATACTTTGCGTTGAGGTGCATTGTTCAACTATTAGAAATCAATACAATATTAAACAATTAACGCTATCCATAACAAACTACAAACAACAAATCAAGGATTGGAAAAGTTAAAACAATAATATTGTTTTTCACTTATTTTCTTGAATTGAGAATTTTTTGAATTTCTTCTCCCCGTCGGAATGTATTCTTAATAAAAAAACTGGCTTTATTCAAGACAATATTTGCAGAAAGTAGGTCTGAATTTGATTAGGGAATTTCTGGTAAATTTGATCTCAAACATGAAAACGCACCATTGACAAAAAATAGCGTTAGACTGTTATATCGCGGCCATTTAATGTTGACATTTTGGTTGGGGAATATGAAACATTGGGCTTTATTATCCTGAATAAATATTTAAATTTGAATAGCTTTGAAAAATTTTTATAATATAAATATAAAAGCAGGTTTTTTTCAAGCAATCAATAATAATACTCATGTAATAAATCGAGTATAAATTTTTAATAAACTGGTCAATTTGTTTTATGTCAACAAATGGCGTAATCGAGGGTAAAACAGTTTTTTTTACAACATTTGAGGTCAAGTAATACCGTAAAATCGATTATTGTAGAAGAATATTCGCGGAAATGTACCGGCAAAAGAAAAGCTTCTACCGTTGACGTGAAGCAACAGGCTATATAAAAGACGAGACTTGTACGTTTTCATTTGTAATAATAGAAGGAAAAACAAGAAAATTTCCTTTCTTTATTACATAAACTAGGGAAGATATAGTGGATCATTTGGATTTGACTTAAGGCAGCTGCGCTACGATATCGTGTTTCTCTTGTTGCAATTTATAAAACTATAAACGAGACCGGATCGAAATAACACAAAACCTTAGAGAAATCGTCAATGTGGCGTAAAACTGAGTTTGCATCATTCCGATCGTGCCTGCCGTTGAGAATATTAAATTTTCAATTACTCCTTAAATACGATCGGTAAGGATTCCGAGAGAAACTATTTATTTTCCGAGGAATGTCGGCCGATATTTGAAAATTTTCTTCTCTTACTTGAGCTTTGGAAGGATGAGGTCCTCCCTGAAACTCGAGTATCCCATAAGCGTCCGTCGGCAATGCCGTCGTGCATCTGCTCGGAAACCATATTTCTCCTGCCAATGGAGGTACAGTTTCGGTGTTGTGTTTATGTTGTGCCAAAGTACGCCCACATCCGCATCTGAAATAAAAAAATCGATTTAAAATAAAATATTAAACTCCAAAGGTCGGGATCTGGTCGAGATTTCACCTCGAGGGAATCTGCCAAGTTGGAATGAAGTTATATTTGTTTTAATTAAAACGTGCGGAAATAATATAAAGGGATCAAAGCTTGTTACTTCTTGGTGTTAATGGTTTGAGCTTTTACAGATAAAAGCATTTAGCGGAGGTGAGGCGATATACAAAAGATCGACCGTAAAAGAAACTAAAAGACGAACGGCTCGTTCATTTTTTAACGGCCTTTTTCAAAGAGATGCACAATTAGGGATATAAAAGACCTTTCAATATGCGTGCGAGAGCAGTTGACCGACAAAAAGCTTTTGATTGATCTGTACAAATCTAATCTGCCACAAATGACACTGCCAATAGTCCCAATATTTTATTCCAAATGTTTTCAGAAAAGTAAAAAACCTACAATCAAAATTTTAAAATCTTTTCGAAACGCTTTTTTAATGATTATTATTTTAATGATAATAATCTAATTGTGTGATTAAAGAGTAAATTTGAGCTGTCTCTCGCCATAAGGTGGCAATAATGCGTTTTGAGTAGACGCTGAGAAGGTCTTTTTTCTGTTTAAAGGTTATGGCAATTTTCTGACTCAAAGAACTGTGAAAACGTTAAGCGTATCCAAAAAGCATTGGTAATATATTTTAAAAGTATTTTCAATTCCTTTGTAATGTATTCTTATATAAAAAAAAAACGCATTATACAGGGCTGCACCAGAACTCGCGCCCCAGAGAAAATTTTCAAGTAAGGTAAGATACTAGGAACATGAAAAAAATGTTTAAAAAATTCTATCTGTCAAAAAATTTTGACATTTATTTTTTGACATTTGACATTTTTTTATATCTATTTAAGAATACTGATGATCTTGTTTTTTTACAATTATTTAGTAAAGGGACAAAATTTTTGCCAATAAAAGCCACAAATTACATTGAACAGAGTTAAAATTTAGGATACAGCTTCCTTGTTTCCTCTTTTAATAGCCTATAGAAAAAAAACTTCGAAAATTATTTTTCCAACAGAAATAAATAGAGTCAAAGTGCAAACTTTAAACCCTCATAACTTCGAGATTTTTATAAATAAAATTTTTTTAACATTTTTTCCATGTTCCTGGTGTCTTACCCTATATGGCATTTTTCTCTGGGGCGCGAGTTCTGGCGCACCATGTATAAGGAGGTAACGATTTCTATAATTTGTATGTTTTAAAGAATGTCATGTGAATCTTATAATAAAAGTAAATTACTAATTAGGTGGAAAGTCGAGCCTTTGATAATTATTATTTTCAAATAAATATTTGGTGTTATCTTAATCGGCGACTTTTTATTGACAAAAGAACCTTTATCTCATGCTAAAAACTTCCCTGAAACGCGATAAACCTCACTATTCTTCCACATTTTCCAGAGAGTTAACCATCATGAATTCTTTAAACAGCGAACTTTTAAAAGTTGTTAAATGTCCCTCTTGTTGTCAATACATGAAAGCTCCAATCTACGTCTGTGTTTCAGGTGAGTAAAAAATTCGAAAACTTTACGTAACTTCGTATTTCAGGACACAGTATTTGTAGTTTCTGCTGGAACATCAATTCATGTCCGATTTGTAAACTTAAAATGAGCGATATTCGAAACTTTTCATTGGAAAGTGTAAGTTCGGTGCTTCATTACCCTTGCAATAATGAGATACGAGGATGTTCACATTACATGAAACTAGAAGAATGTGCAGAACATCACCAGATATGTGACTACAGAAACTACAGATGTATGTTCGACAAGTATTGCAGTTGGCAAGGGACAAGGGATACACTGAAAAAACATTATGTGGACAAACACGACAATAACGTCTTGATCGGGAATGAAAATGTGTGTTTGTGGAAGCAAGACAAACCGGACTATACAGTTTATGTAAGTAATTTATTTATTTTGCGGGATTTCACGTTGTAATTGTTGCAGCTAATGATGGCTTTTGACGAATTGTTTTACGTACACATAAGATTAAGAGATGGCATCATGTATTGGGTTATCCAGTACATCGGACGACCTGAAGACGTGATTTTATATTGTTTTGAAGTATTTCTGATCAAATTTCTTATGTATTTTTATTAATTAAGTAATATTTTAGATCCAAATTTTCACAGACCAATTTAATGACCGAAAATTAGAATTTTCCGAAATTTGTCACGACGACGTTATGGAAAACGTTGACGATATCATCGACAGTGGATTTTGTGTTGCTGTTCCCATGTCGGTTCTAGAAACTTACATCAACGACGAAGGTGCAGTTTTTTACAAAATTGAAATTAAACAAGCTTGATTTTAACATGTTTTTTGTATCGTATTAATTAAATCGTGTACTAAATTCAATTAATAAAGTGTTATTCAATAAGTGTTATAACAATAAGTGCTTCACAAGAAAGGTTGATATAATTGATTAAAAAAAAATATCACAGGAAGGGTAATAAGGACCAAGAAAATTTTAATCATGTGTCCCCTCAGATGGCAGCACATGCACTAAAGTTACCGCTGCATCGATCAACAGGACTGTATCAGGACTACTGCGTACAAATGCGACCAGGATTATAGCTCAACTAGTTTTTAAACAGGTAACTAAGCTACTTCGTTAGCAAGTAAATTAAAATTCCAATAACTCTTTAAAATTAATTTTATGTAAAGATGTTGCATTCGCTTCAAACTAAATTCTGACCTGTGTATAATTTTCAGTTTTGGAAATCGAGCGTTATAAACTTATTAAATTTTTAATTGTTTAGATGAGAAATAAAACAAGTAAATTAAAAAAAAATGCATGACATACTTTAAGACTCTTAGTGTAAATTGTCGAAAACATTCTAATCTTTTTATACCATAATCAGAATTTACACCTTTTAGCTTTGTAAAATCAAATTAAGCTCAAATGCGTGAATATTAGCAAACAATTAAAATTTTATTGTATTTTGAAAATTGCTTAATTAATTGGTTATTTACGCATTACAAATTAAATTTTGCTCTTTAAAAACTGGCAGAATAATTGCTCTGTTCTTGGAAATTTCTAATCATAGTATTAAAAAAACTTTTTAAAAGCTTTGTGTACATTTTACATTTATTTCCGTATTCAATATTAAAGTATTGGAATTAATTCAAGTGATTTACTCGTATGCTTCCTGAAATAGTAATTAATTATTCATTAATAAAAATAATTCCAAATTTGCAGGCATAATCGCAATATCTTACAATTAATCATGTTCTATTTTTGAAAAATATCCAGCATATTAGATAATATCATCAAAAGCTTTTTATAAAAAAAAATGATTGATGTTTTTAAAATTTTTACGATCAAGCACAGAGATATAAAGTTCATTAATAATACCGTAGTCACTTGACACGGAATATATTTTGCATTATTGAAACTGATAACAAAAGTATGATCAACTGTGCGCAACCATCAACTATTTGATAATTAGTATAAAATTTAATTACTGAAGCATCGTAATTAAAAGTCACTGATGGCTTAACATGGATATGTTCTTCCAACAAATAAAGTTTCAGTTCGTCACTAACGGCATTATGGCATAAACACGAAGCTGAATCCTGAAATTTATGGTTTTGAAGAAATCGGAAAACCTTCAGAACAAAGAAAACATAACGCGGCAATGTTCCGTAAAATGAATAAACCGTAACTGAAGCTTTATGGCCCAAGCCGACTAGATTAAATTAATAAACGCGCAAAGTCAAGAAAAATATAAACAACACATCATTATTCTCGTCTCCTTGTCTTTTTTGCTATAAATCTGTTTGGTTACCTTTGACGTATCTTCGTCAGCAGTCGCACTAAAGTAAACTTTACCACTTCAGGCTGACACCTGTAACTCGTTTATATACTCGACGAGATCTCACATTGCATTAACCTAAAACTCCTAAATCCTTTTGATAAACAGTCATCGTTCCTAAGCAACGACCCTTGACAAACTTGATTTACGAAACATTCATTTCTTCACCACTCAGCATAAAACCTCCAACTTCGTTCTAGGCACCGAATTAGCTAAATGCAATTGTCAAGTGTTAATAGCTAATAGAAAAGTTTCAGGATCTAGGTGTCAAAAGCTACAAAAAGCTGAATTTAGTTAATTAATTAGGCACGATTTTGTGACCTTATTAATTACAAAAAATATTTCAGAGGTATTTCAGTATTGATTTTAGTGGGACAATGAATAAATAAGCGATTTTTTATTTTGATAAGTAAAGAAATCAAAGTAAAAATTGAAATTTAAAAATTAAACATAGAAACTCTTTAGCGCAATCCACGGGAGATAAAAGGGAATTTATGAATCGAAGTGTTTATAGAAAGTCAAACATTTCCCTCAACTGCTTATAACAATTTTGAAAATTAAAAATTTAGCAAAAATGCTTACTATAAATACATTTTTGTATTTTTATTCACGTTTATGACAATGTTCAAAATATTTACAGATGAATCAAATTAAGTTATTTTTTCAGCAACCAATTACACAGTATATCTTAATAATTTCGCAATTGTCACGATTTAAAACCTTTCTTATACACTTCATACACAGATTGTCCCAGCGAGTTGAAAAAGTCCATTAGTGACCTTTAAATGGTAAAATAAAAAAATATATATATAGGACATTGATAAATACTAATCTAGTTCATCGCCTAAAATTATTTTCAACTATACAGCGTGTCTCAAAAATAAGTTACAATACAAACTTGTGTTTTTTTAAATGGAACACCATATGTTTCTTAGCGTTTTTGGATGTAAATTTGTATGACAATGTTTTTCAGCTATACTTTTTTTTATTGGTCGATTTTGCTTAGTTTTAAAAATGAGACGTTTTTTTAACGAAAACATGTACTTTTAAAAAAATTATTACACAAAAACTAAGACATCTAGAAATATTTTTTTACTTTCGTAAAGAAGAAGGTACAAGCTATAACGTTGTAACATTTTTTTAGTGTGTTGCATTTGCAAAGATAAAAAAATGAAGACATTTATTAAAAGTTCAATAACTTAAAAATTTTAAATGGAACACCTATTTATTGTTTTTGCATTTAAAAGATTATTACATTTTCTTTCTAAAATTATTACTTTTAGGTGTTTATAATCAATAACTAAAGATATTTAACGTTAAACATTAAAAAAAAAATTACTATTGTTTCAGTAGCCAAAAAGTGCACAATTGCACAAGAAATAAAATAAATATCACTTAATCACATTTGTATTAAACTGAATCCATTATTCTTTATTTACAATTTACAATAAAATAATTTGAATTTCAGTATTTATAACGACTTTTTTTCTATTTCCGTGTTAGAATAGGTCTATTCCAGCACCCACATGACGTCATTTGCGTGCTGGAATAAGTCGTTCGCGGTAATTTAATTTTAGTGACGGACTTTCTTCACAATTCATTTTCAAATGTGAAAATAAGAATAATTTTTATTTTTTACAGCCGCCTAAAATTACTCCACACATAAATGTCGCCAACCGTCGCAAAATTCTCTAGAAAAAAAATTTAATTTTCGTTTTTTAATTTATAAAATGATATAAAGCGGCGAAATAGAAAAAATAGTATAAAGCACTTGTTGCAGAAGGTTCTTCAAGCACTCATTTGTTCGTCAACTCGCCGCTTCGCGGCTCGTTTCGGAATTTCAAATTTGTGCTTGAATAGATACCTTCTGCAACTTGTACTTTAATATACAGTGAGATCAAAAAGTCTGTCTATCAAGCAAACGCATGTCTGTGGAAGTTAAATTGTCACAATGACAAATGAGAAATGTCAAAATATTTTTTATGTAAATTATTACAGAAAACCCAGGTGAACGATTTTTATGAATAAACACCAACAAAATCTCATTTTAGTTTGTTTTGAGACGTTTCATAGAATAATAAAATAATTTTTTGACATCTAGATAACATACAAACTGCCATGCAACATACGTCCTCAACTAGGACGCCTACTTGATAGAAAGACTTTTTGATCGTACTGTACTATTACAATCTCTGGATAAATCAACGGATAAGTGGTCCGTGGTGGAATTACTCAGATATTGATAAGCATTGTTGCTACAATTAAAATTGAATGTTAAATATCTTTTCATTTATCAATTTTAGACATTAAAAGTTTACTTTTTTAGATAGACAATTTATCAATCTATTAGATGCAAACATAAAAAATAGGGTGTTTCATTTAAATTTTTTAAGTTATTTAACTTTTAACAAACTTCTTAATTTATTAATCTTTTCAAATGCAAAACACTAAAAAATTGCTTCTTAAGTTTTAAATTCTGTACTTTTTTCTTTGCAGAAGTAAGAAAATTTGTTCCAGCTGTCTTAGTTTTTGTGTAATAATTTTTTTTAAAGTGCATGTTTTCGTCAAAAAAAAACGTCTTATTTCTAAAACTAAGCGAAATCGACAATCGTAAAAACATTGTTTTAAAAGGCTACATCCAAAAATATCAAGAAACATACGGTGTTTCATTTAAAAAAAACACAAGTTTGTCTCGTAACTTATTTTTGGGATATGCTGTATGGTTGAAAATAATTTTAGGTTATGCACTACATTAGTATCAATCAATGCCCTATACAATTTTTTTTTTTAATTTTACCATTTAACAGTCATTAATGGACTTTTTCAACTCGCTGGGACATCCTGTATATATAAATACTGCATTCGTCTCGTGGGAATATCCCACTCCTGTTTTCAAATGTTCATATCCTTTTCATTCGCGCAATAATTAAGTACCCCTTCTTTGTACTATCGTGATCAACATCCTTGCATTTCTAGACCATTAATAAACTGAACACAAAAAAAGCCGGACAAACACTGAAAAGACAACGTAAATTGTCAAATGTACATCCGTTTTCAGCTGGAAATCTGTGCTAATGGAATTAGTTCCCTAATTTGAGAGAATGCATGAGCCTCAGGCATCAAGCAATTTCTACATAAATTCACTTGAACAAATTCAGTGTTTGTATTTAAATGATAAGAACAAGCTTAAATCACTTTAACGATTAAATCAAACAAACCCTCAAAAATTTCGCCACGTCTTTGGATTTAATTATTTCGAAATCCGGGAGAGTCTTTTCGTCACTGCAACAGTTCCTAATTAAATTCGGAACTTCGCCTCTTTGAGTCACTAATGAAAAATGAAGACGGGAAATTTTAAATTGTTAAGTAGAAATAATTAAAAAGCTTGCCGCATTGTGTGATACAAAATCAGTGAATTTTAAACGCTCGAAATTGCGTCGGTTGGTCAGTGAATACATTCTTGTGAACAAAAGCCGAAGCAAAGCAAGTGAACTGAAAATTGTGCCGTTTGAGTGCGCTGTGAATAATTCGCCTTTGGCGGAGTGACTATTTAATAATAAATCTCTCTGTGCCA